GTCAGCCGAGATCAATGCTACCATTTGATATTGGTTATAATGAACAGGAAGATCAACCCATTTCACAAAGTGTTAGAATTCCGGACGGTACAGCGCTCCTTGTCAGACATCACCAATACTTTCCGATACTGTCCTCGTCTCACTTAACATACACAAAATTGTATCTAATCTCAGGAGCTAAACCCTTCCTAATGGCCCTTAATTAATCGTTTTTTTATCATGCATATGTTGTCCAAGATCAATATATTTCTATGTCGGAATCTACGACCTTTACTAGGATGGGAAAGGCAGTGTTTGGTGTGATGTCTTGCATACGGCTTTTTAATGGTGTTTTAAGGTCATATCATATTTCTTTTGTATTTTTAAAATATCATTTCAGTTATTAACGATATTTGTGGGAGCGTGTAGGTTCCTTACCGATCCATCATGTCTGGCATTAAATCCATATTTTTAAAAATTTAAATTAAAGAAATATTTTACAGCTTAAATTACGCTTTAAAATTGAAGAAGTTGCAGACAAATACATGTAATAGAAACGGGAGCAATTTTAACAAAAAGTTATTTTTGAAACATTTAACAGCATTTCAATGTTATACAGGGCTAAGATATTTCTTAATGCATGTCTACAGTAAAATTTCTATTTTTTATTTGTATCCAGGGTAACTTAAGGACACAATAGGGCACAAGCCTTATATATTTGGTACATAGTTTGGTCGAGATCAAATGAACGGTTTTCAAGATGTTACCAGTAAATGTCCCTCGAACAGACGGACGGACAAATGGACGGAGTGAGCCCAGTCTGATGTTATCCCACAACGCGTTTTGTGGGAGTTAAATATATATATATATACGTGTGTGTATGTGTGTGTGTGTGTGTGTGTGTGTGTGTGTGTGAGGGTGTGTGTGTGTGTGTGTGTGTGTGTGTGAGGGTGTGTGTGTGTGTAAACATACATACTGAGAAATCTTAAGGAAGCAGTGACCAAAAGAATAGTTACATCAAACACTGGATAGTTATGTTCGCGCCGAGGCCCTTCAATCGTGGCGTCAAATAACATCACTAACACCTCTACAACGCCTATGACATATTTCCTAAAATCAAACACATCAAAACCTGACAACGAATTTTTTTGATATATTGACCTATACTAACGAATAGTGATCACTGACGATGTTTACTGTATTGATGACTGACGATGAATGATGTTTACTGTATTGATGACTGACGATGTTTACTGTATTGATGACAGACGATGATTGATGTTTACTGTATTGATGACTGACGATGTTTATTGTATTGATCACTGACGATGTTTACTGTATTGATCACTGACGATGTTTACTGTATTGATGACTGACGATGAATGATGTTTACTGTATTGATCACTGACGATGAATGATGTTTACTGTATTGATCACTGACGATGTTTACTGTATTGATGACTGACGATGAATGATGTTTACTGTATTGATCACTGACGATGTTTACTGTATTGATCACTGACGATGTTTACTGTATTGATAACTGACGATGTTTACTGTGTTGATCACTGACGATGAATGACGTTTACTGTATTGATCACTGACGATGAATGCTGTTTACTGTATTGATCACTGACGATGTTTACTGTATTGATCACTGACGATGTTTACTGTATTGACCCCTGACGATGTTTACTGTATTGATCACTGACGATGTTAACTGTATTGATCACTGACAATGAATGATGTTTACTGTATTGATCACTGACGATGAATGCTGTTTACTGTATTGATCACTGACGATGAATGATGTTTACTGTATTGATCACTGACGATGAAGGATGTTTACTGTATTGATGACTGACGAGGAATGATGTTTACTGTATTGATCACTGAGGATGTTTACTGTATTGATCACTGATGATGAATGATGTTTACTGTATTGATCACTGAGGATGTTTACTGTATTGATCACTGATGATGAATGATGTTTACTGTATTGATCACTGACGATGAATGACGTTTACTGTATTGATCACTGACGATGTTTGCTGTATTGATGACTGACGATGTTTACTGTGTTGATCACTGACGATGAATGATGTTTACTGTATTGATCACTGACGATGTTTACTGTATTGATCACTGACGATGTTTACTGTATTGATAACTGACGATGTTTACTGTGTTGATCACTGACGATGAATGATGTTTACTGTATTGATCACTGACGATGTTTACTGTATTGATCACTGACGATGAATGGTGTTTACTGTATTGATCACTGACGATGTTTACTGTATTGATCACTGACGATGAATGATGTTTACTGTATTGATCACTGACGATGTTTACTGTATTGATCACTGACGATGTTTACTGTATTGATGACTGACGATGTTTACTGTGTTGATCACTGACGATGAATGATGTTTACTGTATTGATGACTGACGATGTTTACTGTATTGATGATTGACGATGATTACTGTATTGATCACTGACGATGTTTACTGTATTGATGACTGACGATGTTTACTGTATTGATGACTGACGATGTTTACTGTATTGATGACTGACGATGTTTACTGTATTGATGACTGACGATGAATGATGTTTACTGTATTGATCACTGACGATGTTTACTGTATTGATCACTGACGATGTTTACTGTATTGATGACTGACGATGAATGATGTTTACTGTATTGATCACTGACGATGAATGGTGTTTACTGTATTGACCCCTGACGATGTTTACTGTATTGATCACTGACGATGTTTACTGTATTGATCACCGACGATGTTTACTGTATTGATCAATTATTGGTTAGGAATACGTTTGACATATTGACAATTAACGACGGATGTTTTTTGTTAAATTAAAAATTGCGCTTAGTAATATCGTTTGTCCTGTAATTAATTAGCGGCAAATACCGCTGGCTATTTAAACCAACAATACCGATTGTTGGTGACCTCATTGACCGGTGTTTTTTTTATATCGAATAAATGTACAAAGAAATGAAAGAAAAGTTAAAGCATGCTGGGGAAAGGGCCTCTTAAAACAGAAAACAGTCAGTATTTGTTTTAAATGTAGATATTGTAAATATGAGAAAGAAAACTGATTCAGTCTCATAATTTATAACAAGATATCGCAGAATCTTCGATTTTGATAACATTCGATCGTGCTATATTTGATTCTGGAAATGTTAACATACAATTTACTTGATCAAAATAACTGTATCTCGGAACCTCGAAGACAAATATATAAAAATGAGAATTTATCATCTCGACCTTTGTTTCACGTGACTCCAATAGCTTGCTTAATTATTTCAATACAAAATATGAACTTTTCAAAATTTAAATTTAATCTTGGGCTTTCTGATAAACTAGTTTTTTAATGATTAATCAATGTTCAATTGATAACCGCTTACCACAACGTTAGCGTATAAAGGGAGGTAACTCGTATTACTTTTTGGGCTTAAACCGCCGTCTGTGTAACACCAAGTCAATTACCACTTAGCAGAGACTACTCGTAGACAACGATTAAACATCGTTAAGTGTGTTTTTTAAAATACGAAACCAAAGACTGAAATAAATTCTTAAGAAAGGCATTTTGGTATCCTTTTTTTCAATAAAATGCTTAATTCCGCCCCCTGTTTCAATCTCAATATAGATATGAACAGACGGAAATGACAACTTTTTTCCGTACATATTAATAAATTGCCGCTTAACAGGAACTACTACTTGAGAAAAAATGGAGGTCATTTCCCCTACCCCCACCCTTTTTTTGTTCAATACGAAACTAAAGGATAAAAATACATTTTTAAGGCAGTTATATTTGTTTCCTCTATTTCAATAAAATGCTAATTCCGCGCCCTGTTTTAATCTCAATATAGATATGAACAGACGGAAATGACAACTTTTTTCTCCTTACATATTAATAAATCGCAGCTTAACAGAACTTACTTGTAGAGAAAAAAATAATGTCATTTCCCCTACCGCCTTTTTTTCATTACGAAACTAAAGGATAGAAGTACATTTTCAAAGCAGACACATTTGTTTCCTCTATTTTAATAAAATGCTTCATTCCGCCCACTGTATTAATCTGTTTTAAACGGAAATAAGCTGTTTCTCTCCGCTAAAAAACAAATCAAATGTCGAAATATTCCTGCCGTATAAGCGCACTGTGTCCATATCTTTAGCATAAATAACGAGTGAAATACGCATTCGTGTTCTTCAAAATCAGAGTCCGCGATAGCTCGTCAGCAAGGTAGTCGTGTTATCACAGTTGATGTCACGCGCCGTCCTGTGTTATCATGGTTGTGTCTTTGGGCAAGATAATAACTTCAATTAATTCCGATAGCTTGCGATGGGCCTCCCTTATGTTGTTCAGTGAAACGTCATTAGTACAACGCCACCCCAATGCGAAAGCCCTTGCTGTGGACGGATTGATAATTAAAGCGTTTAAACTTAGCTTGAATCAAAGGGCGACCGACACATTATCTCAAGCTGATGATAAATGATTCAGGTCGGACTCCGAAAAAGGAAAGCTCTCTTAACCATTCCTAAATCTAAAATATAAGTTATCCAATTTCATATTCATGGAAATAAGTTAATACTTAACCGCCCAATACATCAATCCAGCCAAGATCAATGTGCCAAAGACGTAATGAGGTAAAATGAAACTGATTTTTTTAAATGGTCGAAAATTGCAGCTTATAAACAAATTATTTTTGTCCAATTGAAAAAAAAAAACAGAAGATGAAAAAATAGACAGAGCAAGAATGATAACAAAACAAACATGGACAGAAAACACATAAGACACCAAGAAAGGAAAGTTATAGGTATATAACTATGATGACTTATGGAAATAATCTTGAAGACTACGTGAGGATTAATTTTCAGTCTACAGTAATAGATAAGACAGAGAAGGTCACCGTTTGACCTCGACTGGCGTTGATTTATTTCCTATCGGCCTGGTTTGTGGTCATTTGGTCAATACTGGAAAGACTTCTGTAGTCATGTTTGCTGAATATGTATTGTTTGTTCTCTGTAGTAGTTGGGCATATGGAGATCAAAGAACTGTGTTAACATCTGTAGGCTCCATAACAGGGTTTAGCGGATTTTCCAACTTTGATGGTCGAGGAAACGGCACAAAAGTATGGAAATATTTAGGTATTCCTTATGCCAAACCACCTATCGGAGAACGGAGATTCAGAAAGCCAGTTCCTATGTCGAACTTCAAAACTGTATTCAACGCTTTGAATTTTGGGCCTGCATGCCCTCAAGACAACAAAATGGCGAGTATGTGGATTCCTGGTGAAAACAACTATTCTGAAGATTGTTTAACGTTGAATATATTTGTACCGGAAGTGACATCCTCAAGTGCTAGCAAACTTCCGGTTATGTTCTGGATCCACGGCGGAGCATACATTATTGGTCAGTCTGGGATATATTCTGGTGAAAATCTAGCAGCATTTGGGGATGTGATCGTAATAACAATTAATTACAGACTTGGATCTCTAGGTTTCCTAGCAACTCATGATGACGACACCAAAGGTAACTACGGTCTATGGGACCAACATCTTGCCTTACAATGGATACACAATAACATTGATTCTTTTGGAGGAAATCCGACGGAAGTGACGTTGTTCGGAGAATCCGCCGGCGCAGCAAGTGCCGTATATCAAGCAATGTACCCCGGCAACCGAGGATTAATGAAGAGGATAATAGTTCAAAGCGGAAGTGCCAATAGCGCATGGGCATTTCAAAGTCGTGATAAATCTGCAAGATATACTAGGGTCATTGGAAAATCACTTGGTTGCCCAGATTTGACGAATACTGCAGCAATCGTAAGGTGTCTGCGTGGAAAGTCGTTTCAAGAAATCATCGATCACTCGAGGGTGGGGACACCGAAGGAAACATTGTTTAGAACAGAGTTTGCCCCGGTGATTGATAACGAAATAGTATTCATAGACGCACTTGCAGCTTTCGTTCCAGAAAGAGCCATGCCTCGAAAGGTAAGAGATTGGTTTTCTGAAATTGACGTCATCACAGGCATAAACAAAGGGGACGGTGGATTCATCACATCAGCGTCACTGTTGCCATACATACAGAACATAAACAAATCATTTCCGTCAAAGAATCCAGGTGAAATCTTGGAAGAAACTGTAATGCCGTTACTATTGGCAGACCGCCTCGGAAACACATCCGCCACACTAAACAAAGTTGCAGCGTTTCTCTATAAGGATTGGAACCAACCTCCTAACCAAAATACAACATTTCTTCACGAACTTCTGGATATTTCTTCAGATCATTTTTTCTTCATTCCCTCACTGTTCACGGCGCGTACCCACTCAGAAATCACAAATAGTGCTTCTACCTATCTCTTCCAGTTTTCCCATCATTCCTCATACATCGAAACATCTGATTGGATAGAGGGCGCTCAACATGGTGAGGAGATCCCGTACGTATTTGGTTTTCCAGCTGGAACTTTGAAAACGGCAATGAAATATCCGGATCACGTGACCGCAACACAGAGGATGTTGTCCACGAACATGATGACATATTGGACAAACTTTGCCAAGACAGGGTTAGTTTATCTATTTATCCGTTTACATTTGTTATTATTCAAGAAAAACAGTAGAAAAACTACTAAAACTACCTGTAACCAATCTATTCTCGCCAAGAAAAATGTTTCGCGAGTAATAACGAAAATTGGTACTGACACTTAGCGAGATAAGGTCGGTCACCCAAAAAAGTTGTTTCTTTTAATTTGGTATAGTGTTTACTAAAACAAGTCAGTAAGAGATTATCAAATGTATAAATGCCGCTATTGGAACTAAACATTTGTTAGATTTAAAGAGAACATGTAAATGGTAAGATTAACTTTGTTGTCATTAAAAAAGCAAATGCCAATGACAATGGGACGTATGCTTCTATATTATACATCCCAGGGTTTATTTCGTCGATGACTCCTGCAAGGTAATTTATGACATTTATGAATATCACATATCACGTCATCAAAGTGAGAACAAAGGAAGCATCCAAAAAACACTAGAAAAAAATTCATGTTACAAAGTGACAGTAAACGTTTCTTAATGAAATATATCAAATACCAAAGTATATTAGCGATGTACAACGGTGTATTCACATTTTATAGGATTATGAAAGCTATTTTGACTACCATAATTCACTTCCCAGATTCGGAAAGCAGTAATTTGATTGGCTAATTCGAAAGGTCACCAGAGCATGACCTCTCATTGGATGTTTTATATATCCTAATGTTGAGAGTAACTCAACCAGATTTCGGAGCTGTAGTCTGCCTATTAACTTTGGCGAAGCAGACTTCACTGTTAGTTCATTCTACGCGAATAATTTCATTATGTCTGGTACGTACCTGAAAGAATAGCTGTAACTTGAAATTGTCTTTTTTTTCTTCTTTCAGAAATCCTAATTTGCCTATATCAGTAGTGGACGGTCCAGTGTGGTCGAAGTATGACCTTGACCATCAACATTATATTGACTTTGATACCAATATTACAATTAATTCTCGAATGTACGCTACACGCGAAGCATTTTGGTTACACTTGGCGCGCGAACTTCAGGACACCGTCATATCTAGCGGGACCTCTACGAATGTGTTTCCCCCATTTCCGGGAATCATCATAGGCTGATGTGTTTCATATCTTTGCTTCGCTTTATAAAAGATTCAAAATGAGCTTTGTTCTTTTGTTTTCTAGGAATGTAGTAGTCCGAATGGACACAGTAAAAAAGTCGATCGAAAATCAGAATAATTAGGACTCTAGGGGTTGGAGATTTGGTGTTAGACTCTAGAATATAAAAATAGAAAGTTATACATATATATATTAGGCACCAGTTCTCACATATATGATATATAGACAGATATATTACAAGATCTATCAGATATAAATATGCGTGTGTTCCAGATGATCTCACATAGATACATGCAAGATACAAGATCTCCAAGCGATATGTTAGATCCCCTATAAAAAGTAGTGTTATGTTTTATTCGGCGATGGCGATAGAAAATCTGCACTTAAAATTTTGTAAGCGGCTAATTGGAGTTAAATGATTCTACTCAAAACAACTTTATTTATTGAGAATGAGACTGTCTGTTCCTTAGATTTAAGAAAACGTCAAAATGATTAAATATTGGTTAGAAATTGTGCATAAACAGAAGACCGTATTAGTTACTCTGACACCGATGAGCATTCAGTGTTAGAGTGACTATGATTTACATGCATGAGCGTGACTCAAATGAGAAATGAAGTTTGGATGACTCCTATTTACAGCATTTTTCACGGCCCATATGAGAAATATACCATTGAATGACCCTGATTTATAAATGCTTTGTGATTTAGATGAGAATTAAACATCTCAGGGACAATTATGAGACTAGACCGATCGAATAACTATTTCACAAGTTTTTTTGTGTGATTCAGATGAGAACTTGAAAGTTGACGGAAATGAAGCATTCGCACCATCATTTATCATAACGACGGGGATGTAACATTCACCCAGTCCTTCTCAGATTGACGGAAATGTAACATTCATCCAGTCCTTCATTAGCTTGACGGAGATGTAACATTCACCCAGTCCTTCTCAGCTTGACGGAGATGTAACATTCACCAGGTCCTTTCTCAGCTTGACGGAGATATAACATTCACCCAGTCCTTCCGCAGTTTGACGGAAATGTAACATTCACGCTGTCTCTCGTCAGTTTTTACGGAAATGTAACATTCATCCAGTCTTCCCTCAGTTTGGCGGAGATGTGACATTCATCCAGTCTTTGCTCAGCTTGACGGAGATGTAACATTCACCCAGTCCTTCATCAGCTTGACGGAGATGTAACATTCACCCAGTCCATCCTCAGTTTAACTGAAATGTAACATTCACCCAAGTCCTCCCTCAGTTTGGCTGAGATGTGACATTCATCCAGTCTTTCACCCAGTCCTTCATCAGCTTGACGGAAATGTAACATTCACCCAGTCCTTCATCAGTTTGACGGAGATGTAACATTCACCCAGTCCATCCTCAGTTTGACTAAAATGTAACATTCACGCTGTCTCTCCTCAGTTTTTCGGAAATGTAACATTCACCCAGTCCTCCTCAGTTTGGCTGAGATGTGACATTCATCCAGTCTTTCACCCAGTCCTTCATCAGCTTAACGGAGATGTAACATTCACCCAGTCCTTCTCAGATTGACGGAGATGTAACATTCACCCAGTCCTTCTCAGCTTGACGGAGATGTAACATTCATCCAGTCCTTCATCAGCTTGACGGAGATATAACATTCACCCAGTCTTCCCTCAGTTTGGCGGAGATGTGACATTCATCCAGTCTTTGCTCAGCTTGACGGAGATGTAACATTCACCCAGTCCATCTCAGTTTGACGGAGATGTAACATTCACCCAGTCCTTCATCAGTTTGACGGAGATGTAATATTACCCAGTCCTTCATCAGTTTGACGGAGATGTACGGAAATGTAACATTCACCCAGTCCTCCCTCAGTTTGGCTGAGATGTGACATTCATCCAGTCTTTCACCCTGTCCTTCATCAGCTTGACGGAGATGTAACATTCACCCAGTCCATCCTCAGTTTGACTAAAATGTAACATTCACGCTGTCTCTCCTCAGTTTTAGGGAAATGTAACATTCACCCAGTCCTTCATCAGCTTGACAGAGATGTAACATTCACCCAGTCCTTCTCAGCTTGACGGAGATATAACATAATCAGTCCCAGCTTGACTTCATCAGTCCATCTCAGTTTAACGGAGATGTAACATTCACCCAGTCCTTCATCAGCTTGACGGAGATGTAACATTCACCCAGTCTTTCATCAGTTTGACTGAAATGTAACATTCACCCAGTCTTTCACCCAGTCCTTCATCAGCTTGACAGAGATGTAACATTCACCCAGTCCTTCATCAGTTTGACGGAGATGTAACATTCATCCAGTCTTTGCTCAGCTTGACGGAGATGTAACATTCACCCAGTCCATCTCAGTTTGACGGAGATGTAACATTCACCCAGTCCTTCATCAGCTTGACATTCACCCAGTCCTTCATCAGCTTGACAGAGATGTAACATTCACCCAGTCCTTCATCAGTTTGACGGAGATGTAACATTCACCCAGTCCATCCTCAGTTTGACTAAAATGTAACATTCACGCTGTCTCTCCTCAGTTTTTCGGAAATGTAACATTCACCCAGTCCTTCCTCAGTTTGGCTGAGATGTGACATTCATCCAGTCTTTCACCCAGTCCTTTATCAGCTTAACGGAGATGCAACATTCACCCAGTCCTTCTCAGATTGACGGAGATGTAACATTCACCCAGTCCTTCTCAGCTTGACGGAGATGTAACATTCATCCAGTCCTTCATCAGCTTGACGGAGATATAACATTCACCCAGTCTTCCCTCAGTTTGGCGGAGATGTGACATTCATCCAGTCTTTGCTCAGCTTGACGGAGATGTAACATTCACCCAGTCCATCTCAGTTTGATGGAGATGTAACATTCACCCAGTCCTTCATCAGTTTGACGGAGATGTAACATTCACCCAGTCCTTCATCAGCTTGACAGAGATGTAACATTCACCCAGTCCTTCATCAGTTTGACGGAGATGTAACATTCACCCAGTCCATCCTCAGTTTTACGGAAATGTAACATTCACCCAGTCCTCCCTCAGTTTGGCTGAGATGTGACATTCATCCAGTCTTTCACCCAGTCCTTCATCAGCTTGACGGTGATGTAACATTCACCCAGTTCTTCATCAGCTTGACGGAGATGTAATATTCACCCAGTCCTTCATCAGTTTTTATGGAAATGTAACATTCACCCAGTCCTTCTCAGCTTGACGGAGATGTAACATTCATCTAGTTCTTCCTCAGTTTGACGGAGATGTAATATTTTCACTTTTTTTTTTTTGGACGGAGTTGTAACACTAGCATCGTACATTCTCATGTAACGCAATGTAAGAGAGAGGAAGATACCAATATAGGGGATGGTAAGGCAGCAATATAAGGGACCGATAGGCCAGCAACTTAGGAGAGTGTATGACACCAAAATAAGGCAGGAAAGGGTAGCAATATAGAGAAGAGAAGGGCAACAATTTAGGGAACGGGAGTGCAGCTATGTAGGAAAAGTTGGGACAGCAATACAGGGGAGATAAGGGGTAGAAACATAGGGCAGTGGAAGGCTGCAATGTAGGGGAGGGATGGCAACAATGTAGGAACAAGTAGGGTAGGGGAGGGCTGCAATTTAGGAGAGCGAGACAACAATGCAAGACAGCAAAATAAGGTAAGGCGTGGCAACAATATAGAGGAGGGGAGGGCAGCAACGTAGAGAAATCATAGTCAGCATGATCGTGGCGGATTGGTCTTCAATTTAGGGGAGGGAAGGGCTGTAAAAGGTAGCAATGCAGTGGAGAGAGAAGAGTAGAAATGTTGGGCAGTGTAAGGCAGCAATGTATGGGAGGGCGGGGCTACAATGTAGGGGCAATGTAAGGGAGGGCGGGGCTACAATGTAGGAGCAATGTATAGGAGAGGGTGGCAGTTACGTAGGAGAGAACGGGACAACAAAGCAGCAATGTAAGGGAGGGCGGGGCAACAATGTAGGAGCAATGTAAGGGAGGACGGGGCAACAATGTAGGGGCATTGTAAGGGAGGGCGGGGCAACAATGTAGGGGCAATGTAAGGGAGGGTTGGTCAACAATGTAGGGGCAATGTAGGGGATGGGGAGTAACGTAAGAGAAAGCGGGACAACAATGCAGGAACCATGAAGGGGAGGGGAGGACAGCAATGTAAGGTTGGGTGTGTGTTAATTGGCATTTATTCATGAAATATGCATCGATAGGCTATAATGATACGGCAGTCAAATGTCTCCTTCAATGCCTTTATGTCTTCAATATACATTATGCTTTCATTTGGGGGAAATCGACTGAGTAAATTTATCGTTCATATGATTAAGAAACATATACATCCCTGTACCTACACATGCATATACAACGAGATAGAAATTTGAATCTATATTACAAACTGCAGAACAAAAACGCTTTTAGTTAACTTATGCTCAGCAAGTATATATGTTTACTGCTGGGTTTCAAATTGACATCGACAAGAATACTTACGATTCATAACACGTCTCGGTTTGGAAAAGACGTGTATTCCTTATACCGGCATATGGAGCAGACGACCATATACAGGACACTCAGGACCGTGTTTAAGTTAAATCTTTATAAATTGTGTCACCAGAAAAACTTACCTAGTTTAATACAACATTTTCAGTGGATACAAGTCCTAAAATCAAGGTTCAATTAGGAGAGTCTACCAGCAGTATCACGAAAGTAAAGTTAAAATCACAAGACACGTATTCCTATTGTAAAACGACAGCTATTGTATACAAACTCCAATGTGTCGACATGCTGGTTACTGACGGGATAAAAGTATTGTGAATCTAATTTCCTTGAAACTGCTGGTATTATGCAATCGTGACTTCCGCTTAAGTATCGCACGTGACGTCCTTTGAAATTATGAGGTGTTGTCAGTTATAAAATGTATTATGAACTTAATGTTCCTCTCCATCTGTTTGTTTGTATATATTGATTCATTTATCATATTACATTTTTCCGATAAAATTTGCTTTTCATCTATCGCCTTTTAGGTGTCAGTATCAGACATCACTGACGAGCCCCAGAAATAAACGAAACAATTACAGGATGCAGTTTAATTCATTATTTGGTTCTGCTGTATCAAATTCTCTATTAAAAGATGCTTATTACATGTGTGTATTTTTGTACAATCTCTGAAAGGCATATCTGCGTCTCTAACACCAGTAGGCTGCATTATAAACTTCAGAAGAATCTTGTTTTTAACAATTTTGTTGACAAAAAAGGTTAAATAAATTACCTTCTTTCCTTGATTATTGTCGGCTTTAAAACACTTGTATACCACCGTCGTTTTCTTTCGGGAAAATGGTTTTCATTGAACCACTTTTGCCCGTCTTAGGTAATTCAAATGTTTCAAATATGGCTGTCTTTTTTTGTGCAGACGACAGTAATTAGAAATGAAAATTTTGAATTTCGCGCATGCTCCAAAGCAATGAAACTCTTCAATGAATTTTGATTGGTCAGTGACTCATGAAACAATATCACGCCATTTTGATTGATAGGAAACATCCATTTCGAGGTTAACATGGACGCGGATTGGATACTTTTTGTAGCATTTGCTTATCAGCAATGATGAAATGGACGGTGAAATTGATTTCGTTTATAAATTAAACGATAAAACACGGACTCAAAATGTTTAATTCAAAACAAACCGTCAAAATATCAGGCTAACGAAACTTGAAACAATACAAAAATACGGGTCCGGAACGCTGAAATTCCAACGCGATTATGTTTGAAACAGTAGAAAGAAAACTGAAAACGACAAACTTTGACAATAAAAGACTTTCTAAAAAAAGTTATTTCATGCCCTGATGTGTTCTGACCAAGTAAATCAATCCCGGAGGATGCAAATGAGTTGGGTTTGTGTATGTCGAATGTTAAAGTCATGAAACAGGCGTTTTATTTTATAGCCAATAGCCCCCACCCTATGTCAACATAAAATGGCACTCACTGAAATCATTACAGCATATTTCTTCAAAATGCATCATTAATACAAGCGACAAATCCATCATACCAATATATCGAGTTATAAAAAATGATGAGAGAGAGAGAGTGTGTGTGTGTTATTAATTTACGCGAAAGCATTTGTTGTGTATTTGTTCTGTCTTACTGATAACTGACAAATATCTAAGTCATTTGCCATTTTTGTAGTTGATCGTAAAAAAGAATTTCATTTGCTAATTCGGTTATAATGGGTTCTGATAGGTGTTGTTTTGATGAAGCAGAAAATAACAAGATTTAGTCATCTTATTATAAAGACTTTTATATAACCAGCAGTGGTAGTAGTGGGAACAGTTTTTTACGCAATAAAGGAATAAAATACTCTCCATTTCAGTTTCCTAACATCACCACAAAAATTCAGCCCAATGACACCAGTAGAACTGAGGAAGAAGTTTAAATTATGTTTTCAAGATGGCGGTCACAACGGCCATTTTGGATTTCGAACTGATCTGAAAAGTCAACAAAAAAGATGTTGTTAAGAGAAACCATAATTTTACAATCATATTACAAAATGGCCGCTAAGGCTGCTCTGTTGAACATTCGACCAGGTCCAAAAATAGCAACACTTTATCGGCTTCCTCCCCTTCATCCTCGATTTTTAGCTCAATAGTGTTACTTATGAAGTTTAATGTGTGTTTTTTTCAATATAGCAGTCTTGGCAGCCATATTAAATTTCAGACTTATCTAAACACAGGCCAAATGGCTTTTAAGGTCATCTGACTTTCATAAATGTTGTTGTTCTGGTAACCCTCATAGAAATCATCTTGGGGTCATCAAATTCAAAGTTTTGGTCTGGCATCTTAAGATCCCTTCATCCTTGAATGGCATGTTTCTATTATAGGTGGGTTTTGAGAAGTAGATTTTTGAAACATGGGTCAATTCTGATCAGAATGTAACCCTCAGAGCTGCATCCAATTCAGCTTTTGATATCTTTCGAGAAAATTGCGATACAGGTTTTCGGAATGACAGTGTTGGTGATGACTATTGGAGTGTTTCATGGTCGCCCTAATGATCTCATTTAGTAATATGATATATTTTGTTTCACTTGTAAATGCGTCTCATTGTCTGGTGGTTCCTTGTTTATCCATATACAACTTGACACCAGCAGAGACTCTGTAACTTCAAAATAGTTCACTCAATGACATCTCATTACTTTGTATTTCAAAGACAACATGAAATAACAATAACTTTTTAAAAAGATTTTATCTTTTAAGTGTCTGATAAATTTTCAGATTCTAAAAAGTTAAATCTGTGTCATAAATAAATGCTTACTTAAAATCAAAGAAGCAACTTGTATGTTTCAAGTATGAATTTGACTTCATGGAAGGAAATTATGCACATGGTGGTTCTTCATCAAATTGAGATAATTTGAAATTATCCATAAAGTATGGAGGTTGTTTAAGTGAGTGTTCATCCTCTGTATGTAACAGTAAGCCAGGAAATCAAATATTTTATTTTCCACAGTTCACAAAACCAAGCATCGAGTACCTCAATCTCATATTTAGAATATGAGGAAGTGTTGTCTTCTGTTAAAGTTTCATAACCAATATATTTAGAAGTTCAATTTTTCATAATGATGATGTGATGAGATATGAGCACTGTGTGTTTTCCTTCTGGAGAATATTTACCTTATTTAAGAAATAAGCATTTAAGAAAATTCACATTATATCAAAACAGAAATAAAGGTTTAATGGACATAAAATTAAAATGAATATCACTTAACATAGCTTCATGCTCCAGCTGGAATATGCCAGCCTCTAACCAAGATCTTTCTGTCTTCATCACACAGAGGTGATAGATTACATTATCTATTTCAAATTTACTCCACCCTTTCTCACTCTCTCTCTCACCCTCTCTCTCTCTCTCTCTCTCTCTCACTCTCTCTCTCTCTCTCTCTCACTCTCTCTCTTTCTCTATCTTTCTCTCTTAATGAAAATGATAAATTCTTTACATGAAAAGAAAAAAGGACCTTCACACTCATTTTAAAATGATCACCTTGTTGTTCCAGCAAATACAATCTTACTTAACTTAGGGTCCGTTTTAGATGTACATCTTCTTTGATATAAACTATTGTGTGAATCATTTCAGACCTGACTTGTGAGATCAAGTGTGAGAAATAAATTATCTATACAAGGATTAAACAAATCTGCACAGTTCCATGTCTCACAAAATTAATGGAGGAAAATAAAATCTGCCACCAATTCTAAACCATCTGACATACTTAATTACAGCACAAATATTATTACTGCCCAGAGAGTTTTTGGACTCTGAAATTTGAGTCTTGGATTTGTGCTTTTCCTGTGGTACTTGATCAAATTTTGAGAACACTTTAAATCTCTCAATATTTTTAAATTGGTGTTCTAGACTCGCCTGAAAAAAGCCCATCAATATTTACTGATTGCTAGCTAAGATAGAACTAGAATCTACAGCCGGGTTGATGTAAAAACATCTTTTGATTTCTAGAAAAGCTTTCTTTAAAATTCTTTTTTTTTATACTATACTAGACTCTTTCATGATACTCATTGGTGAATAGATATTGTTTAACCCTTGGATTGAGAGGAAGTATTTCAACAGATGATCATATATTGTTGACACCAAGTCTCTCAGCTTGGTCTATTGCCTGTTGTAGATTAGTGTCAAACAGGTCACACCTGGAAAATAAAAAAAACCATCTGATAGTAAAGCTGGTTAATTATTAAACACAGTCTACATATACAAGTATCCTGCATTTATTGTCTTATTACTTCAAAATGTTGGAGTTTTTTTCAAATCTTATAATATACATGTAGATAGATATATACACCATTTTTACGCCTTTTTTACTTTACACGAGATAAGAAAATGAGTGTATTTGGTAAGTACAATTTTTTTCATTGAAGACCATTGTGACAGACAACCTGGAGCTTCTCGAGCTTTTTTGATTATCATATACATAGAGTATTATATAACATTAAATAAAAATATCAAATAACATTGAAGACACACTGACTACAGAACCTATAGTTCATTATCAATATTTCTAATTAATATGATTTATAAAACATATGGTGTTGAGGTTAACATGTTATCATTTTTCAATGAATTGGACAAAAATTGAACTTTTGAGGTTTATTTTTTTTTTGTTCTCCAAACTTGTGATTGATAATGAAAAAGCCATCTACAGAATGTACATATATCTGCAAAATTTAGATTTTACAGTTAAATTGTATAAAGAAGTTTTGATTATCACTCCAGTCTCATAATGTATGGCTAATGTTAGTAAATAAAGAGGAAATGTACACACAACATGGTGATATAAATGTACAGTTACCTTATGGGCATGTCCAGAGAGTAAAATGGATTCTTGAGAGCAAAGTCGGAGTAAACTTCATACAGTTTCTTTAGAAGTACATCCACAGCCATCTGTCTTGGGTCAGCCAAGATGATGAACTTTATACCTGTCGCATACATATTCTTAATTATAAAACTAATACCATATACAAGCATTATTAACCCGCCCACATCTGTTTATCAGAATTAGCAATAAAGACTATTTCATTGTCTTTAATAAGTTAGAGGTCATACACAGCTCCCCTGGACTATTTATAGAATAAATATGGTAATTTTGTAATTTCGAATACAGAATGTGGATCACGTACTCATACTAGTCCAAAGGGTTCTGAATATCTATCTCTTCCTGATTCTACTATTATTTTAGTCACGTCCAATTCCAAGACAAAATAAATCTGTGGATAGATAGTCAGAACCCTTAAAACTAGTACCTGCTTGTAAACTTTATGATTGTGACATACCAAACTTTACGTAATTTTAAATGAGGATACAAACTCCACACAACCTAAAATACCAAAAAAACATTATTTGCCATACTTATATATAAAGTATCAAGTGATCTCTCGATACTTACAGTAACTTGTGAAGGTCACTCACCATCCATAATAAGAGATGTAAATCTAATTCTTACTCTTCTGGAACACCTGGGCCCGTATTCATGAAACCGTTGATGTATATTTTGTATTCAGATTCCAAGACTGAATAGACCTACCTGTCATGGTTTGGAAACAGTGCAGCTTGAAAGCATCAGTCTCCAAGACTTCTATACCGGAGCTCCTTGGCTCTGGAGACAGCTGAGATCCAATGGCAAACAGCCTATAAATAGTACACAGTATTTAATATAAATAGTGAGCAGTCTATAAATAGATACAACCTTTGTCTATGAACTTGATAGTGCACAGTCTATAAATAGTACACAACATTTACAGGTAACAGGTACACCACTTATGACCACTTATGCCAAGAAACATGTATACATTACAATAGGCTTGGGTAAAACAGAGACTGAGTTGTAGGACAATTGTTGTATTCATTAGTGAGGCTACTTTACCTAGAGACAAGAAGAATTAAATGGCGAAAAACATGTAGCCAAACAATAAGAGATTGTTTGCTTGGTTTATTGGCCAATGAACAGCCAAGGTCATTTTGAAACGGGCTCTCCTTGTATATTAGCCGGTGACTACCTTACTGAAAGACATACAGGAGGCCCATCAAATGCTATACAGAGCAATTGGAGTAAAGGGTTAGCCCCAGGACACAACCACAACAGCAAAGACCAGTCTGTTATTTCAGCTTCCTGAGAAACACAAACTGTCATGGACAAGGGACGTCAAACCACACCCTTTGGATCCTCATAAAAAGTTGTAAAGTCTAACACTCTGACTGAGCTACTATGGCCCTTCTTTGTACCCAACAAGAAAAGAAGACAAAATACTTTTTAAAGCAATAGGTAACTTACGAATGAAACATGCTGGCCAACATAATTCTCTCATTTGTGGTCAGTTTTGTTCGCCCAAACTTGAGATTGATGGGGAAATTTTCTTCTGCAGCAATAATATCCATAATATCTCTCCCATCACTCTTCAAAAAGCGTCCCTCTGCTGGGACACCATTCACGGACAGTAAAGTATGTCCAACTGTAAATAAATGTTAGTATTGGAATATTGCAAACATGTCTGTTATTCTGTTATTTTGATCTTAAAGTGAAAAACACACGTACAAAACTAAGGACCTGGGCCAACTTTCTACTGAAAGCATTTTGAGCAATCCGTCCTTTTCTTCTCCAAAAATAGTGATGGGTCAAAATCCAATATATGGCATCTGTCAACCATGGCATGTTGATTTAGGATTTTCTGATCATGCTCAAAATAGACAATGTACAACTAAAGACCATGGATAACTTATCATAATGACATATCAATATTGTGAATGATTCATTAAGTACGTCTCAATATATTGTGATAACAAACAATAATTTCCAAATTCAAGATGGCCATATTGATTTCTGATCTGTCTTGAACATCCTGGGACCAAGGAAGACATAAAATTAGAGAAAGATAAATCAAGTAAACAATGTTTAATTGGGGAAAAAAGGAAACCTCCAACATATGAAATATGAGAATCTCATATATCCATGCAATACTTCTCAACAAATCAAAATTGTAAAAAAGACAATGCACAAGTAGGGACAATAGAGAGTCGGAGGAAAACGGATGGACCACTATCGCGAACAAAGGGCGATTAACTACAGGAATCTTAATGTAAAATATAAATGTAATGCATATTACTTAAAATAACAGGAGTCACACATTTGTAAATGGTTTACCCTGATCGAACGCGTGTTTCTGCATTATCTATTTTTGAAGTGTAATACCATTCTATCATTCAGACGTGCGTCATAATACTGTGAATTTACAGATTGTGGGTGGGTGGGTTAATAATGAAACATTTGTCAGCACCAGGGAAAAAGTAAATTGTGACCGGTACCCGTGTATCGATTCCAACAAAACTCAATATCTGATCATGCCAAATCGGCACGCCCACCTTTGATCCCATCTCTTTCTCCGAATGCTACGACAAGTTTCTCATCATGAACCTTAAGCACCAATTCAAGAGGGTAGCTAAATGTCTTTTCCACCTCGGGTCTAGCGCCGGAGTGGTCGTACTGGTATATCAACCCCCCGGCTTTGTTAATGATGTAAACACTGTAAATCGCCATCACGCCATCTTCGTAAACAGGGGAGTTAACTCCTACCTGTAATAGAACTCTTTAGAACTGGAAGATACAAAACCCAAATCATGTTTACCTTAGCAATGTTGGAAGGAAACATGGTAAGGTGCGTGTATTTGTTTGTTTTTGATATATGACAGTCGTTATGAGTAGATAATTCTCGTTCTTCAAATATGTTAAAAGTAATAATTTGATTTAATAAGACCAGTTAAAAACTGCAATTAAACTTAAATATAAAAGAGGCAAACTGTAAGGGAGAGAGTTCACATTTTATTGTCGAATCTATGGGGTAAGGCATCATTCAGAAAATATTTTATCTGATTTCTCGAGACGTCGTCGAATCCAAGTGATGCGCTTATTAGTATAAACCAGTTACTTTTGATTTATTTATTTTTCATCAGATATCATTCAACAACCTCATGTACTCCCACCCAAACTGACAAAAGAAGCTATTCACAACACGTGTTAAAATAAGTAGAATGTACTATCACGGAACGAGGTTCCTAGATGGGCGCCAAATGTAGCAGAGGTCATTTGTCATCTCAATGCTTCCGCTAGGAATCGAACCCGGGACCCCTGGCTTACTAGTTTGACGCTCAACCAATCGAGCTAAAGAGAAGCTCTCCCTAGCCGAGAAGTATATTGCGGCTAGTATTTTACCAGGGTTACATATGTACATCCAAAACTTTTATATGATACATTCTCACAGTCATGGGAGCCAAATAAACATATTTTTAAAGATTATCATTTATAAAGAGAAAACTGCAATACAAGCATAATTATTGACATGTAAACACATTGTCACTCTGATTTCTCGTATTGTAATTGTAGAATAAGGCTTCATGAATATGTGTAATGTGTTTTTATAACCAGTTGATTTCAAAATGATGGGAAAATATAAAAGTTTTAAAAAGAAGTGCCCAGTTGTATGCCGTCTGTATTGAAATTGATATGGACATAGAGGCTAGCAAACCTGCATCCACCATGTATCGTCATAAATCGTAATAAATTGCGAAATGAGTAAACTTGTGTAATAGAAAGGAGTAATGAAAAAAAACACCCTGCTACCACTGGGATTTAAATTAGTGACCCTTAGGTCTCTAGCTGGACACTCCACCACTTGACTAAAAGTAAATTCCCACTAGCAGAGACTAGTAAGGTGACATGTACTCAAAACTTCTACACATGAATGCTTTTGAAATATAGGATTAAACTTTAACCAATAAAGGAGAGACACAAGGCCAAACATCTACTGAAGCATTCTTACGAAAAATGCTCAAGCAGATATTGGTGTGAGATAAAGTCTGTTTTTAATGATATCGATATAAAATAAGATGTATTTTTGTTGAATGGTAAAGAGAAATGTCAATACAGGTGCATGATTTATAAAGTTTATTGATAATGATCAATGTTAACGAATCCTGATTTCCTTTGACCTTCGACTGTTGCATTTTTGTGAAAGTTTGCATCCTTGTGAAAGTTTGCATGTAATTGATTTGACAGATGGTTGAACTACGCCTAAAAGCAGACAGAAGAACTGAAATAATGTTACTATATTTCTGATTCTTCCCTGTGGGAGGACTTAGTGCACAAAAATGGATGGTCCAAATTCACTGTGCTACTATCAAGAAGTTGCAACACATTAAAAAATATCAATGGATGAGAAAAGAGTGAGGGCTGTCCTACGCGGGTCGATGCTAGATCTTCCCTACCGCAGCTCAAGGGTCGTGAGAATCTTCATCAGTTCAACTTTCACAGGTACAGTTGTCTATATAATTTATCACACAACAGTACATAACAGAAGCCTGAACCAGGCTTAATTGAATGTCAACTAGTGCTTAAATGACGTGACTAATTAAGGATTTGGTTTAAATCCAGACCTGATGAAACTGTTTGTGAATATAATTATGTCCTTTTAATAAAAGATTTGCATATGCACAATCATTGTAAAAAACATTGTGCTTGCATACAACATGTGTGTTTAGATTTGTATATAAACTCTGAAAAGTCTGTTGTTCCACCAACAATATACAGCTACCCTCTAAAGCTGACAGGCCTAGGGCTTATACCCTGGTAATTGTACTTCAAGATTTTTCGCATTATGAGCTATTCCATAGATAAACACAATACAATGTGTACATCTTCCCTTGTCTTCTGTTTAATGTTATTTTAATACTGTTAATGTTTTGTTACTCAGTAATTGTTTGCAATTTTTCCAAGTAATTTTCAGACCAAACAGACATTTTTTGTTTTCCTTTCTAATATGAAATGAATTTACAAGACCCTTCGATCATACACATGTGTTTTTGTACCAGTCGTTTTTGTACATTTTGTAAGGAAATTAATGTCGGACACATGATAACTGCTCAAAAACTCAAGTCATTTTACATTTATAACTTCATTACCTACATCCTTGTAATTGTTCTTACTTTTTGATGGAATGCAGATACCAGAGAGGAAAGAAATTTGTTGATGGAAGAAGTTCACCCCAAACTAACATCCTACTGCAGGAAGAAGTATGGACTCGAATACCAGGTAATCTAATTTAATATTCAATCAAACTACAGGAGAAATGACAATTATAGTGATGTCATAGAGGATACCTAGGTAACCGGTGTTATATATTTATATCTCCCATCATGAATGTATCCGGATACTTTTTCTGGTTATCATGAAAGTACATTTATGATGGGGGAAAATGTATCCGGGGACTTTTATGATAAGGGATACAAATGTAATATGACACCCGCATAGAAACAGAAACTAATGTAACTATTATACCTCTTACTTAAGTCTTTCTAGGAAGCAATAATTGTACCAATAAACTTTGATGGTATCAATTTATATCTGTTTCATGGCAGTGTTTGTTGTCCTAGGTTGTAGACATGCGCTGGGGAGTTCCAGAGGATGCAGCTGATGATCATTTGGCCACCTCTCTGTGCCTTCAGGAAATACAGAACTGTCAGAGGCTGTCCACTGGTCCCAATTTTGTGGTAAGAACTTTCCGAGATTTTGAAATGTTTGTTCGAAAGAAAATATTTGCAGTGATAATTTGTCTCTGTTATGCTAAAAGTATTCACTATCACAGATATTTACTATAGAGGGAGCCACCTTGAGATTTAGCAATGTTTGTTCAAAAGGAAATATTTGCAGCAATGAATTGTCTCTGTTATGCTAAAAGTATTCGCTATCACAGATATTTACTATAAAGGGAGCCACCTTGAAGTCTTTATAAGAAAATATTGTCTGGTATTCTTGGTTTCACTTTTTAAATTGAACTGCATCAGAAATGAAAAACAGAGTAGGAAATAAAGAGATTAGGATAATTATCTTGTTACATGTATGCTATACTTATGGCTCTCTCTAGTATAAGGATTATACAATCACAGGAAAACAGCAGAGTTTTAGCAAGCAATTATGCACCAGGAAGCAGAACTAGTAGATTTTTACATTGTAAACTCATAACAAATGTTATCTTGCACATGCAGGTATCTTATTCATATATTAGTACAATTGTAAATTATATTGAACACATAAAGACACATGACAGATATTTTTTAGAAGATGAAAAGGTAAAAAATATTGTAGGATAAATATTTCAAATTTTGAAACACAGTCTAAAATTATATCTATAAAGGTTTTCAAATGAAATATTTTTTCGTTGCTGCAGACATTTCTGAACCAGAAACACGGATTTCATCACCTGCAATCATCTATACCCAGTAAGGAGTTTGATGACCTTGTCCAGGCTCTACAAGCACTAGGACAGGATCACAGTCTGCTGGATGTTTGGTACAAACAGGACACCAATTGTATACCACCCGTACACTTACTGCAGCCAATCAGCTCTATCATAACAGAATATAAAAACAAGGTCAGCCAATCAGCTCAATTATAACACAGTATAAAAACAGGGTCAGCCAATCAGTTCAATCATTACAGAGTATAAAAACAAGGACATATGTATTGTACATGTATTTTCTAAACACAGGAATTTGATCATTTATATACATTAGTATGGTTGACACCGCTGTGTAGTTAGTTGTCTTTCATCCCATCCATGATAAGTCACTATGATAATTTTGTAATCCACTTTGTGTACTACATTAGATCAATATTGAAACAAATGATATCTAATTAGACTGTAGTTGATGTATGTTATGTAAGACTTAGTGAATGCTTTGTTAATGAACTATAATTTTTTTTCAATGTCCAGACAGGTGATGCTATAAATGAATGGAAAACTGTACAGATGAACTTGAGGCATTTACTTAAAACAGCCAGTCAGCATTGCTTTGACAATGGGAAAATAAGTGTCGAAGAAAAACACAAATACTTCATGTCAGGTAAAACCATGTTACTAAGCAACTCCTCACTGCCTAAAATTGTTCGTTGTAAAATTGTTAAAGTCAGTGAATGCTGAAAAAAAAGTTTCAGAATACATGAGGAAATATTCAGCAGATTTAAATACATGTACACAAAGCATTACACACTTTTAATGATAATGCTATACATGTACACGAGTGAAAAGAAGTAACGTTCCACAATAAACAGAAATAATAGCATGTCTTATAACAAACCCACCCATATATATTGAAGTTCAATTACATCTAACATCAAATGCTATTGTCCGTTTAGAAGCCCGTCCCCTTGACTTTCAGAAGTCGGATATTATGTTGGTTCCCTGGAGGAATATTTAGGGTATAAATACATAGGATAATATTCTTAAACAATACATGTCTCAATTAATTTTTTTTATACTTTAGTGACTGAAGAAGAGGTACTGCAGGGGATACTTAAGGCTGCTGCAAAGCCAAGTAACCACTGTTTGTGTTTCATACGAATCATTGACGACATAAAATCTCATCTGAATCACAATAAAGCTTGGCGCTTCATTGATATGGTGAACCAGGAGAAAATAGACGAAGAAGCCCAGGAAATCCTCTCCAACCTGAGGGATGAAAAAGTTTTAAGCAAAATGGAAAAATCCAACATTTCAAAGTAAGCTCATAACACGTAAAGTTATAATTTGTTTGTTACCTATCACAATTTTAACAAAAATAGAATTCATTTAGATAATTATAAACATTCAAGTTTAGTTTCAGTTTTAAAAAAAAATGTACTTACCGGTGTCATTGTGCAGGTAAATATATAACAACCTCATCATTTAATTTTGATGATTAAATCATATGTTTCAAAGGAAAACTGTCAACTGGAGTGAGAAAGACGGCATAAACAAAGAGGAACACAGTGATTACCTGCGTGAATTTGGAAACATATTCTACACTGGGGTCAAGCAACTTATAGACAAAGCTGTGCAAGAGGAACTCAAACTTGCCCATGATGATTTGTACATAGAGGTAAGCAGCTGAATGTTTCTAGTTCAAACATTTTTCATTACTCCTTTCCTCTACAGATTTTGTGCTTTAACAAGGGTTTGAAACAGGGTTGCCATGGTTTGTGGGGTCGAAGGAGGGAGTACTGTAAAAACAGAAAGCCTTGACCACTTAAGTGCTGCTAAGTATTCATTACATTTACAGTTACTATTAATGTTATAAATTATAAAGTTAAGCTTTCACAGCTTATTCAAACAGTCCACCAACAAATGAGTATGAAGGTCACCCTTTTATCTTGTAACATTCTTAGGTACTCCAGCATCTGACCATGGCTAAAGAAAGATGTTCCATGTTCCATGGCCGAGAGGACATTCTAGAGAAAGTGGCCACCTACCTTTGTGGGGACTCTGATGAACCATTAACAGTCTATGGACCCTCGGGCAGTGGCAAAACTTCAATTATGGCCGAGGTGGCTCGACAGGTACTACATGATTAGAAGTTCTAGATAAAATAAGCATACAGATATTAATGACAGGTAAACTGTTAAAATGTTAGATGTAGTAGTGAAAGGAGAAACTATTAACGCATTGTTTGGTACTTTAGGAGAAGCTAATTTGTGTTAATTTTGAAGAAGAAAGAAAGAAAAAAGTTTAGTTCGGGTGTTGATGGATATGATTAACCAGAAAACTATAACAAATTTGTGTTGTTTGGAAAATGTATTAATAGAATAGATGATGAATAGTCTTCACAACATAACATGGATTGTAAACAGAATTTGTACATGAGAAGAAAAACAAAAATATTTTTTGAGAATGGCTTATTAGAGACATACAAGTACTATATGGTCTCTGGGCAAGCATAGGTTTATCAGTATCCTGTAAAGTTTTATAATGATTAAGATTTTTCAGTTTTATACCAATGACTTGGCAAAAAGGATTCATTTCTCATGGAATTCTTTTTATTCAATTTACATGGTGTTTATTTTGTTTTTTAACAGTCTTATTTCATTCTGAAAAATATATATATGTATATGAAAAAAAAAAAAAAAAAACTTCCTCTCTACCAAAATAGGTGGGTATTATTCAACTTGTAAGGCATCAATTAATTATTACAACTATTGTTAAAACAAATATTTGTACCACATATTGTAAACTGTAAAAACATTGCGACTGTTTCACACTGTTAGCTTAGACGACACGGATGCTTCATGCACTTGCGGCAATAAAAACACTGCAAGTAGATTGTGGTTGCTTTTGTAATATTTTGATTTTTGTATTGATTTCCATTGGGTTACTGCTTTTATAATAATAGACTTGTTAATTAATTGTAAAGATTTGCATGGGTGATAAATTTTGTAATTGGATTTCCACATATTTAGCTGGATAATAATATGCAAATATAATTTTGGAGGAATTTAAATTGAATTTTATTTTTAGGTCCCGTTTACATACAAGAAAGAAGCGATTGTGGTCCTTCGTTTCCTGGGTACTTCTCCAGCTAGCAGCAATCTCTGGCGCCTCTTGAAGAGTCTTGTTACCCAAATTTTGTCCAACATCAATGGTGATCTGAAGAGTATACCTTCAGAATTCAACAAACTCCTTGCATTCTTTCAATCCCTAATTGAGAAGTATGAAGATCACTCTTCAAAACCACTGGTCATTCTGTTAGACTCATTAGATCAGTTGAGTTCAGATTTTGGGGCTCACAAACTCAGATGGTTACCCAAAAAGCTTGGGAAGAATGTAAGGATTGTGACATCAACATATACAGAGTCAAACGACATCATTAATTCACTGAAGTCATTGTTTATGCCCGACAGTTTCATTATGGTGAAAATTCTTGGAGAGGATCTGAGTACAAAGATCCTGAAAACATGGCTGCTTTCAAGGAACAGGACTTTGAGTAATGAACAATTTGATTATGTCCAGGAGGCCTTCAAAAAATGTAGTCTACCTCTGTATGTGAAGTTAGTTTTTGAAGATGTTCTGACATGGAAATCCTACACAACTGTTTCTATGGATACACTTTCTTACACTGTACCGGAGATCATCAACTCCCTACTGCTGCGACTGGAAACCAAACACGGGAAAGTGTTTGTGAGTCGAACCTTGGCCTACATCACTGCTTCTCAGTCGGGTATCAGTGAGGCGGAACTGGAAGACGTTCTTTCCCTAGATGACACATTGCTGACAGATGTATTTCAGTACCATGTTCCACCATTCAGAAGGATCCCGTCCGTTCTTTGGGTAAGAGTACGACATGACATCACCAGTTATCTAGTAGACAAAGAAGCTGATGATAGCCGTGTGTTCTTCTGGTATCATCGCCAATTCTACGAAGCTGCTGAAAAACGGTATCTGTCAGATTCAAAGTTTAGCATGGAAATTCACTCCCTACTGGCAGACTACTATCTCGGAACTTGGCACAATAAGCCCAAACCTTTCAATTACAGTGAATCCCAATGTAAGAAGTTGGGCCTCACCTCACCAAACAGCGAAGCAGATAGAAAAGTTGCAGATCAACCAATCAGTTTCCTTTTTAAAGAGGATGAAATAGAGAAGAAGAGATTCAATCTTCGGAAACTCAACAAATTACCATTTCACCTCATCAATGCTGACAGAAACTCTGAATTGCGGAGTGTGTGTTTATTCAATTATGATTGGTTACTAGCAAAACTTACAGCCACATCTGTACAGCAGCTCTTAAGTGATTTCCTTTTGTCAAGGCAGAATAAGGATGGAGCCCTTCAGCGAGTTCTGAAGACAGCACAGTCAACACTTGCGAAATATCCTAATACCCTTGCTATGGAAATTTCTGGCCATCTTTTACCGCTGTTGTCTGATGTTAAAAACAGTGTGGAGAAATTCTTGGTCGAAGAATGTTTGAACAGAATTCGGTCAGACAAGACAACTTTGCCATACCAAACCTGTTATAACACTCCAAAAGAAGCCCTCCTCTTTAAGTTTGAACATCAGGGTATCCCATTTGGTTCATCTCTTGTGGCGATGTCCAACGACTCGTCTCATCTCATTGCTTTAGCTGAACAGAATGTGTTGGTAATGTGGGACCTTACAACTGGAGAAATAGAACAACAAGTCAAGCTGCTGGATCCAGACATTGTCAAGCTTAACATTATGACAACCTCTTCCGAACAGAATCTGGCCATGTTTTACTCAAGCTATCAGAAGCAGGGAAACCATATAGTTGTGGTGAACATGTCTACGGGAAATGTAGTTAACACTATGGAGATGGAAAAGGCCTACCCTGGTGTTGGTTTTACAGACAGCCTGGAGTTTGTCGTGACGAAAACAAAGATAGTCTGCATGTACAGGGGTCATTCAGCAGATCTGTTTGATCGGCAAACAGGAAAACATGTATCACAGTTTGGTGTGGTAGCAGATGACATTGTTCTTCTTCCTGATCAGAATGGTGTCCTGTTTCATGAGAAGCAGACTCAAAGGTTAAGATTATTTAATATCGACACGGGAGAAGATGTAGCTGCAACAGATATTCAACAGGAACCAAGGAAAGTTATAGCAGATCCCTCAGGTACAGAGGCAGTTGTCGTCTTCAAAGATTCTTCTACTTTCCAAGTTATTTGTCTGGAGACAAATGATAAGAAATTTGGAAATGTTCTTTCTGAAAGAAGAATAACTAAAAGGAAACCGACATCTAACGTTATCACTGATGCGAAGTTCTCGTTGGACGGAGAAAACCTTATATTGACAACAAGTCATGGATTTGTTATTCAACATTACAAGTCTGGTCGAGAGAAACATGTATTTGCAATTCCCAATGACGTTATACCCGATCACAAAGTTCTTGCTTTTGACGGACACATGACACCGGACAGAAAATATTTTGTTTCTGCATACGAAGGTTATCTTATTGTTTGGGATACGGAAACGTGTAGGGTTCTGCAGAGCATGGAAATCAGTCGCTCTAAAACAGTGGCGGCTGTTATGTCTGAAAACGGAGACTTTCTAGTCACAACACACAAACGGAATAATGTTGTGACAGTATGGCAAATCTCCTCACTTGTGTCGAAACAAGCGTCTTTTGAACCTCTAACAATCAAAACTGCACCGCGTTATCTGGACGCCTCGGAGAATGGGGAAGTTGGTGTAATCCGAGGGAACATGTCGAATGAGGTGGCCATCTTGGACATTCTTGGTGGTTGTATCAGGTTCTACATTTCTAAAGATTATGAGGTGATGCAACCTGTGATAACCCCAGATGGACGTAATGTCGTTCTCAGAGAATACAGTTCTGACAGAGTCCTGAAGGTGTGGAGCAGCGCTACTGGTCATTTACAGAGTTCTGTTCCCTTGTCAAGTCTCCTGGTAAAGTATTATGTACTAGCTAACAACAAAATGGCTGTTTATGTCAACAATTCAGGTATAGCTCAGGTCAGCTTTTGGAGCATCCCAGAATCAAATCATATACGCACACAGGAGTTAGGGGCAGCGTTAGTCGGTGACATGTTCATGTTCTTCGATTCTACCAGTGACAACATCGTCATATCAGAATCTACCTCTTTGGGTGATGTTGATTTGTCAAATCTTGTTGTTTACGATATTGAAACAGGCGAAAAGAGACTAACCTTCCCACGAGTTGTTTCAAGTTGCACTCAGTCCCTCGTGAAGGAAAAAGATTTGGTGTTACTGCAGCAGCATGATGAAGGCTCTGACACAAAGTCGTTGATCATTTTGGACATACGGTCAGGCGAAGTCAAGAGAAAAGGGAGTATTTGTTCCCCCACCAGACTTTTTATGTGTAAGGATGGTCGCTATGGTATTGACAGGACAAGGAATTTATACAACCTTGAAAAAATGACTTTTGAATTTCAATATGATCCTGATGGAGATTATCCAAAAAAGCCGAGTAATCAAGCTAGTCCGAAGTTAAGCAATGATGGACATGTAGCTGTATGGCTGAACGTCTACGCATCCTTATTGTTGGTCGGTGATATCAAGACAGGGAATACAATCAACATCTGTCCGATCCACAGTATCCCACTTTCCCTTACCGTTACCGTGAACGATCTCCTCCTTATCGGATGTGAGGACGGACGGCTCATGTTATTGCAGCTGGTCAGCAACACCAATGATGAAAGCAACTTCATCTCGGAGTTTTTGTCCCGACACAAAAATCACAGCCAGAGAACTAAGGTGGTGAAATACAAGGGAATGAATAAGCCTCAAGGACAGAAAGCATCTAAGTCATGTTCTCTTTTGTGATTGGTGGTATGTGATGGATATTTTTAGTTATTAGCAATCAGGGGAATCTTAATACACTGTAAACATACCGATAAATTTAACGGCACGATTTCTTGTGTACCCATGAATTTTTCATGCTATTTCTCCCTAAAGTCAAATTGATCACTTTGTATATACGCTATTTATAGTAGTATTCTCTGGCTAACGCTTAATATTTTTTTTAATCTTTTATACAAAAACACTTTTAACTTTAACAAAGAAAATAAAATTATGAAACAAACAAAAAGAGAAAAAAAGGTACATAATTTTTAAAGAAATTTTGATTGTAACTAATATTTTGATCTTGTCAACATATTCTGTAAAAATAGAATTATTGGCAGAAAATTGAATGACGTCATAAATAGCAAACATATTAATGAATATAAAATTAAAATGAAATGTACGTACTACGTAGTGGGAATCTGTGTAAATCTCTTAAACCAATATTTATCAAATTACATTCTTCAGAAACAATATAATTCTGCTAACTAAGCAATTAAAATTTATATGGGAGTTATTTTTTGAACAACTTAAGGGACAACCTATAAAATATATTTTAAAAAATAAAAAGGTCCATGGGGTCTTTGGTATATCATCATCAGTGTACCGCGAACTACTTGCCTTTGCAAAAATAAGCCAAACCAAAATATTTTCAAATTTACAGTTTCATATTTCAGTGTTTTCTTTTTATTCCACAACGATATTCGGAAGTACCACTAGCAAATAAGGCGTTATTATTTAATTCATTGCTCAAGTAATCGGATATATAGTAGACTAAAGGTGATCACGTGACTAGATGGAGTATTTTGTTCTAGCAAACACTGTATGGTTGTGTCCCTGGTGTAGTTGTTTCAAAAGATCTTGAAGATGTCTTACTGGTTAATATGTCTATCATTTAATAAAAATCGGATCATGGCTTAGATTTAAGATTTCAGAATGCTATAAATCTTAATTTATAGATATTAGAGAGAGAGAGAGAGAGAGAGAGAGAGAGAGAGAGAGAGAGAGAGAGAGAGAGAGAGAGAGATTCTATATTCGTTTACTTATTTAATGATATTGAATATATATTCTAGAAAAAACACGCTTGTTTTAGCAGGCTTTTGTTTGTTTTTGGTAACCTAAGACAGCGAATATGATTTTCGTACTTTGATAGAATTCGAGCAAACCGTAACTGTGATACTTATTGCACGTTTTAACTTGTCTTTCATAGAAATTGCTCAAAATGAGCTGGTGTTCAATTTATACAAAATACCTTTTATGGCAAATCCTACCCCACCAATAAGCTGGATTTATTGTATCAAAACCAAAGAAATATGGACCTATGTATCGGGAAAATGCTGAATACTTTTACGGAGACAGGGTACAATGTTCGTATCCGACATTTTGTTTTGTACTCTGTTAACGTTGTTTGAGTTGATTCATCAGAACTCTTGAATGACACGTGATCAACAACACTTGTATACATGTGATTGTAAATATGAGTATCTATTTGGAGGGCACACGGGAGCCTTAACACACAAAATCCCAACCCCTTTATTCGTATATTTTGCATTAGTTAATTAGTGAAGTTTTACATAAGTTTATGTAAGTTTAGTTAATTTCATACAATACATACGTCAGTGCTAGTACACTTCACACCAGTCATTTGTCTGATGAAGGTAACCGTGTAGTCTTTGAAACATGACGCATTAATCTACTAGTAGTCAGTTTTGGTTTTCCTTCCACGTGACACTTCCTCTCTCGCTAAGCATTGTCTCCCTGACGAATATCATTGTAACGATAAAAGGCGGCATTCATCCCTCTCACAAAGTAAAACCGTATGTTAGCAAAGATACCTAGACTATGAATTTACGGAATTCTTGCAAAACTCGAAACCATGTAACGAAAACCATATGGCACACATTTTCATTTAACCATTTTTAAGCACTCTAAAACATATACTATAGCCATAACGAGTTATGAAATGCACTACAACGCTGAAGGTTTGATAAGTTTTTACTCATGCGGTTGTGCTAAGTTCACTTATTGAGAGTATATAATTTACGTTCTTGGTGTACCCGTATTGCTCTGTGGTGAAAGCTATCGATATAAAAATGTTTAAACGGGTATAAACACAGGTGTTCAGGACAAACTTCTAACCTCACGTTCCATATGTATCTCATATACTTATGTCGGTCCATATACATACATCATTTCACCAAATACTAATAACCGGACGATGAGGTTGGAAATTTTCTGCTGAATACGTTTGGTAATAATTTGTCTTAGCAATGTAAATTTATCTGGTTTTATTACTATTGCCTTTCGAATTTTTTTTTTTTTATTAGTTTTTTTACGTATTTTTTATCTGTATTTTTTTCTTTTTTTTTTTTTTTTTTGTTTTTTTTTGTATTTTTTGTTTTTGTTTTGTTTTTTTGGTCTTGTTTTTTTGTCCTGGGTACACTTTTAATTAGGCTATCAAATACTCTGTGTTACAAGAACCTTGGCAATGACATTTCTGTTGTATCAATATTCTATTGTGATAAGGACGTTCCTTTTTCTCATTACGCAGTGACCACCTCTACATTTATGTACCCGGTACTCATCAGCCGATATTATTTACATTAAAAGTTAATTAAATTTATTCTATTGAAATTAAACAGTCTTAGTTACTTATTTTTGTTTCTTTATTTATGAGTACACTCAGCATAATCTACACGAATGTACTTAGTGACCTCAGCGATATTACCTTATATAAACAAGTTTCATATGTTTGATTTTCATCGGGATAATTGATACTTAAGTATATTTTGGCCAAGTGGATCGTCTCCATGGGTGTTACAGTTCACCGGGAAGAAAAGATGGAAAGAATCAACCATTTGTAGATATGTGGGATAGAGGTGGATATTCTACCCGAAGGTATGTACTATGGGTTTGAACTGAGGTTTGTCGAGGCTCTGAACCCGACCTGTATACATGAGTGTCGACTATCCATTATCTAACAAACATTTAGTGGACTAATCTACTTTCACCTCTTACACCAGTATTTGGTAAACACAACATTTATCAAGTAACTGTTTACTAAAGATACATAAGTGAATAGCACATTTTAATTCAAAATCATAGTTTGATAGAGTAGAGCCAAACGATGAGTCAAACTGCATCATATAGCTGTTTCGTCCATAATGGACTCATCAATGATGCTAAGAATATTGATCTCAAAGCCTAGGAGGAAAATCCAAAAGAAATATCAATATTTCTATCTAACAATATTACATAAAAAATTAAGACTATATTTGAAAAAAAATAAGGAAAAAGTACAATATACATAAGTATACCACAAATAATGAAAAAAACTCCTTCATCATGAGCATGCGCAATGACTTATTTGTTCACCAGATTGAGTCAGACGTTATAATGTCAAAGGTCACTTAGTGCACCCATGTGGAATAGACTACATGAGAAATTTACATGGGATACGTGTGTCCTACAAGTTTATTCTAGATTATATATGAGCTCTAGAAGAAATGTCTAAAAAGTCATACTGAAGTACGTTATATTCTTTTGATATTGTTCCCCAGCAGCATGAGATTACTCAGAAAATACCGTTTGCAAGATTTAACGGGGTGAATGTTGAAGTAAAGCACGCTACATTAAATGGTAACAATGAAATTTCGCACGGCAGCCGATTTGGCTATCCCATAAATATACGAAGTCTATAGCCCCCCTCATCCCTGTTTAACACCGACCTGCTCTTGTGGATCGAGATGGCTTCCTTCACTTTTCGTATGATTGGTATGTTTACGAAAGGAAACAAGATGAACACATCATCTTGGCCCATATTCAAGGTACTATAGATCAATATTCTTAATACACTCAAAAACCTCATCATTAACTAAAACATCCAGACCATGGTATTGGTTGCTAGGTACCTTATACAAAGAGGACCTATACTATTTATTAAAACACCATTTCTTCTTCTTCTTCTAATTATGCTGAATATCTAGAATCCTGACCCATGGATGGCAGCTTCCAGTGAAGTTAAAAAAAATATGCACAATGAACCATAACAATCGTTCCGTGTGAGCGGATGTCAATTGAACTTCACGTACATGCTTTTCTTAAACTGGAAGTGAAATAAAAACTCAGATACTTTTCTCTTCTCAATCAGAGCATAATAGGCATCAGGTTTTATCGAGAACTGTGACGCTTTGTTAGAAGTCGAGTATAGTGCAGAATCAAGTACAAGTATGCACTACCTGTAAAGTTAAAGCTGATAGAGGTCAAACACCTACACAAAATGACAATGTATTATCAAGACTTTTCAACTTTGTCATCAGTCATGGTAATGGTATAAATAGAATACCTTGGTGCACATGTATGGCCTGGTTAGTTCTATCAATAAAACCTAATGAGGTGCACCTACGTAAGTATACTTATCAACTAAAATATCTACATACTGCCTATCAGACGCTTTTGTTTCGGTTCAGATCGGATTAAACGAACGGGCAACTAATTGTTACAGTGCAGCTTAAAATGCCTTTGTTTTATTGGTGATTGTTCTTTGATGTTATTTATGATAAAAGTCATTCTAACTGTAGGATAGGAAGATTGACCCTGAAGGAATATACTATTAGGACATATTTTCACTTTGGATATTAAAAAAAGAGGAAAAATAATTTTCCAACATACTTAATTGTTGGCTAGATCAATATAATACGTTGGGGTGTCATCAGATGCAATGTCTACCAAAGTTCAAAGGTCGCTCTAGACAGACAATGCGTATTCATTGGGTGTAGTTATTTAAAGCAGGTACTATAGACGCGTTCATATTTTTTGTTCTTAAACCTGGCGCGATAAATGGAGCGTTGTGATTCGTCACTGTTGATTAATCACAGGACAATTAAATATGTAGACGTTTTTTTTATTATTGTTTTTTCGAACCTAAACACAGAGTAATAGAAAACAATTTACATTTATTATTGAGGTAAGTCAGTATGTTATCTGTAATTGTGTTTGTCTTTCGTCTGGGACGAGCTTTTTCACGCTATATTTCATTGGATCCTTCTGTTAGTAAATGAAAGCAAGGGGAAATTGAGATTACTAATGTAAAGTACGAATATTATAGTAACACGAGAATTCACTAACGTAAGGTTCTAACATTATAGTAACACGAGAATTCATTAACGTAAGGTTCTAATATTATAGTAAAAGGAATTCACTAACGTAAAGTATAACGTTATAGTAACACGAGAATTCACTAACGTAATTAACATTATAGTAAAAGGAATTCACTAACGTAAGGTTCTAATATTATAGTAACACGAGAATTCACTAACGTAAAGTACTAACATTATAGTAACACGAGAATTCACTAACGTAAAGTACTAACATTACAGTAACACGAGAATTCACTAACGTAAGGTTCTAATATTATAGTAAAACGAGAATTCACTAACGTAAAGTACTAACGTTATAGTAACACGAGAATTCACTAACGTAAGGTTCTAACATTACTAACGTAAGGTTCTAACATTATAGTAACACGAGAATTCACTAACGTAAGGTATTAACATTATAGTAACACGAGAATTCACTAACGTAAGGTTCTAACATTATAGTAAAACGAGAATTCACTAACGTAAGGTTCTAACAGTAAGTAACACGATAATTCACTAACGTAAGGTTCTTACATTATAGTAACACGAGAATTCACTAACGTAAGGTACTAACATTATAGTAACACGAGAATTCACTAACGTAAGGTACTAACATTATAGTAACACGAGAATTCACTAACGTAAGGTACTAACGTTATAGTAACACGAGAATTCAATAACGTAAGGTACTAACGTTATAGTAACACGAGAATTCACTAACGTAAGGTTCTAACATTATAGTAACACGAGAATTCACTAACGTAAGGTTCTAACGTTATAGTAACACGAGAATTCACTAACGTAAGGTTCTAACATTATAGTAAAACGAGAATTCATTAACGTAAGGTTCTAATATTATAGTAACACGAGAATTCATTAACGTAAGGTTCTAATATCATAGTAACACGAGAATTCACTAACGTAAGGTTCTAACATTACAGTAACACGATAATTCATTAACGTAAGGTACTAACATTATAGTAACACGAGAATTCACTAACGTAAGGTTCTAACATTATAGTAACACGAGAATTCATTAACGTAAGGTTCTAACATTATAGTAACACGAGAATTCACTAACGTAAGGTTCTAACATTATAGTAACACGAGAATTCACTAACGTAAGGTTCTAACATTATAGTAACACGAGAATTCACTAACGTAAGGTTCTAACATTATTGTAACACGAGAATTAACTAAAGTAAGGACTTTTAATTATAGTAACAAATGTTTTAGACCAGCCTTCTTGGTACTGTGGAGCAGGACCTTAGCAATAAATCTTTGTCAATGTGTACGAACATTACTTCATATAAAGAGGGAACAATCATGTTAACAGAAATATATAGTTGTTTATAAACGAGGGATTGAAAATTAATTATATACATCCGAAAGACTTCCTCCCCGTCGGTACCACTGACGCTTTTCCATTTTATCTCGTTATGCCGACACTAGACTTAAAGGTGGCACAAGGTGGTCGGGGTCGATTTCCGTACTTAACATTATTTAAAACGTGTGGGGTCACCTGCCCGACTCTGTGGGGTTTTCGCGGGTACTATATGGCTTGTTCGGAAGTTTAACTTAAAATTAGATAATTGCTAAATTAAATGAAAAATACGGAATTCAACACGTTTAAAGTCTATAACGAGGCTTGCCAGTATTATCACTTCAACAGATCATTCTTTACAAACAAATGAAATCATGCGTGTAGTATACGTATTGTGTAACTTGTCCCTGAACCCAGTATATAAAAAAGACTCTGCCAACAGTTTTAAATTCAGATCGTTGTTGGTGAATATGTATCAAATCGTTCTGGTATGCGTGATTTGCCAATTCAGACTCCACACATGCTATCTAATTTCGTAGCCACCATCATGGGCCGTTGATACTGTCCATGATCATACGATAGCATGAAACGGTTCCTGAAGCAGAAGACCGTGGTATGGATAGTACTGTCGACTGGCCTGGTACTCTGGGGACAATCAATTCGCTGTACATGTGACAGAGAGGGCACGAAACAAGCGCCTCGCAGATCAGATCTTACTTTTTTGAGAAATGAATCTACCGAAAATCGTTCCTCCGCAATCTTGGAGAGAGTTTCAGATAGAACTCAAAAGAGGCTGTCACCACGGACGGGTAGGTTTTTATTTATATGTTGAATGTAAACATTGATTCATTTTTAAGCATCATTCTTCGTAAATTGTTACTAAGTATACCACGACGTAAAAGCAGGCGACTTCACTTGAAAATTTTATTGTGCGGTATAAAACCAAATTTCAGATAATCTGTTTCTATGCAAGTCAGAGGTAGAATAAGAAAGTGCTTAAATATTCTTTTCAGTAAACGTAATTATGTATTACCGCATAGCAAACCGAGAAGTTTCATATTACCTTCCAATATTTTCAAAAGCACTGGAGTCACATCACATTCCGACATCAAAAAGAGAACCAGGACCACGACGCCAGCCGCCATCACCAGAATCAACAGAGGTAAGGAATGTTATTAGCTGTTTTGGTAAGACACAAATCTCCGTAGCCAACATATTCAGAAAAGCCAATTAATCTTAACCGTTAGATCAAGTGTCAGTGGGAAAATTGGCTTTATTAAGTCATATTGTCGAACACTGTGTTTAGCTGATGAATTTTACTTCTGATTTTTCGCATTTGTAAAAAATTTGCAATATTTTGTTTTGGCATCATTTTTTAACGATTAGAAATTATATTTCGGACTTCTGAATCCCTGAGAACGGCAGAAATTCAAGTTTAAAAAAAGTCACAATATATATATATATATATATAAAGAAGCTATTTTTAAGATATTTGGAGTTGATGTTGTCGCAAAAAGGTCATGTTTTATTTAATTTGTAGAATGGAGTTACCGGGAGGCTGCGAGTTGATCACAGAAAAGCTCTCTTGTACGGAAAGGCTAGACCAATTAAAAGTCAGTATACAATCGTATGTTACCCAAGAACATCAACTCTGTGTGTTCTTTACACGATAATCACGTTACATAATAAGATATAGTATACGTGGGTTATATACACTTGCTGCCATTTCCTCTTATACACACCTCAATCAAATACAGTATACACTGTGTTGTTATTCAGAGTCTCTATATACATATAACTTTCTCTCTTCTCATCCAAAATACGAAGTATTAGAATATTTGTGATTGGAGGTGATATAGCTGGGGAAATATTGGGGAAACAGTTTTATATGTCAAGGAAAGACAACATAAGTGACTGGTTTCTTTATCAATAAATGTATAGGATTTAATGGACAAATGTCAAAAACAATTTAACAAAAGTTGAGCGACTACAATTCAGATGCTACGTTTAGAACACGCGATGCGTTCCAGAAGAATGAACACGGAAAGATCAATGCTGGAAATTAAAACTGGCGGACGTATGCCTCGTGGTACTTTCAGACCACGATTTGATACTTAAAATAATGAGTCACAGAGACAGTGGGCGACTGTAAATAGTCTGTGATGGAACGATGCTACAATAAAGACACTAGGATCATGTTTATTAAGTTCAAAGGTGATTTAAAATTTACATTTGCACTGCACTCCGCCGAATGACCATGGGACACCAAATTTGTTATTTTCATGTTCACACATAGCTATTTTTATGACATTCTTGACTGCCCGTCAACACATTAAAGGTCATTAGGTCCATCAACCGGTAAAAAAAAACACACACAGCGATCCAAAAGGAAAATAACATTAAACAAACCAAAAGGTAAAAGACAAATGCTAAAAAATCTGAAATGGGTATGTTATCACAAAAGATTAAAATGGTATGTCATAGTCTATTATAAAGACCAACATCTTGCAGATAACCTAGAATTTTACAAATTTCAACAGTTTCAAAAATGGTCTTTAGACTTGTAATGTTACGATGAAGTATTTCTTGGGTAGACAGAAGGTCAAGGAAGTCCAATTATCTGTAATGTACTCATTGTTAGTAATACAATAACTATATATTAGTGCGAATATTATTGAAGTTGATCGTACTGTCAAATGTTTCTGTTCCAAAACGGATATATAGTGTTATACATGTCTGATTGTCATGTGAATATATGAATTGGTTGTCATATGGTTTACGTTAATTGGGAGTAACATACATTGGCTTACATACATGCTGTGTAAAATGTGCTTAGGTCAGTGTCTCTTATACAACAATTAAGGCAAACAAGCTGACAACCAATTCATAAAACGTAGGGAAAGATTTTTTTATAATCTTTGATAGTTTATAAAACCTCGCTAAAATCATTGAAATTATTGAAGATAAAAGTTTCAAATTCCTGAACGGTTTTTTTTATATATATTTACCACAGGTTACCTGACTATCGGGATCCCCACTACCCGGCGACCGCGTGTGGATTACCTGGAGAAGACGCTATTTTCTCTAATCTCCCACTCCCAGGAATCCCAGCGAATGTCAATAGTAGTCGTCATCTTCATAGTGGACAGAAATGAGACCTGGACAAGGATTAGGGGCAAACGGCTGGCCGACAAATACCCTGAACTCATACAGAACGGGTTTTTACAGGTCGTCCATCCACACGATAAAAAAATATACCCGGATTTTAAAAAACTCAAAAGGACTTTTAATGACTCTGCTGAAAGAGTAGCTTGGCGGTCGAAACAGAATATCGACTATGCGTACCTCTTCTCGTATAGTGAAAACATATCGAAATATTATCTCCATATTGAAGACGATGTGCTAGCAGCCAGCAGTTACTATACCGACATAGCGAAATTTATCGAGTCACGAACGAACAAATTCTGGTATTATCTCGAGTTTTCTCACATAGGATTCATAGGAAAATTGGTAAGATCGTCCGACCTTCAGGATTTGTCGGATTACATCATGCTTTTCTTTGCGGAACAACCCTGCGATCTTCTACTCCTTCATATAAGTAAAATTAAATTGCAATCAAGAAGGATTTATAGTCCTAAATCAGTGTTCCAGCACATAGGTACCGTGTCATCTTTACCGGGAAAGGTGCAAAAGATTACTGATAAATATTTCAAAGACTCGTTCGTTTCCAATATGAAGCAAATTCCTCGAAAACAATTCTATCATGTAAATCCCTCCGCAACTATTGAGACTGATATGCGGATGTTTTCTAAACACAAACCGTTATTTGCGTACGATTTGTCGGATGATTATTTCTGGGGAATTAGTCCTAGTCAAGGAAACTACTTCCGGGTCAAATTCAAAGCTCCCCAAAACATCAGTCATATATTTATAGATTCTGGCATTGAAGGAAAAGAAGCCGACATACTGCACGAAGCCCAACTGTTAGTATCAACTATTACACCTGATCAGAGTTTACAACCCTGTCAAAGTAGGACAATTGTCGCAAACTTCACAAACGGGGATGTTGATACTAGGGGATCAAACATTTCACTTCCGGTAAATATAGACTGTGTTATTATTGAAATTACGGCCAGTCATTCTAGCTGGATCGTCATTAGAGAGATTGCAATATTTCTTCCCGGAGAAACAACGGAATCAAAGAAGAGTTCACTGTCCAGAAAACCCCTAAAGGAAAACACAGTGCAAAGAAAACAGGCAACAACGACAAAATACCCATCAGAACAAAATATGGTTCCTGGAGAGCTGAATCATACAAAAATATCTCATACTGACATTCTCGTAAAACATCAAAATAAAAGTCTTACACAAATGGAAGACACATGGAATATCACGATGCCACTAGAATAGCATGCCGATCCCTTAGCAAGTCTCGCACATAGGGAGGACACATATAAATATGGAGATACTATAGTCTGTTTCATAACACAGTCCAAATATCAATAGGGCAAAACAAGGGATCAAAGGAACCTAGTATGGTTTTTTGGTTAGAACATCCTGTCCTTTCCTATAAAATAACCATGTGAAACTTCAGTCGAAATTGAAGATGGGAGCCAGTCTACCATTTTGTCTTTATTCACCGACCAATCTCATAACCAACAGTGTAAAACTATAACACCAAGGGAAAGATCCATCCAGTAATTCCTAAGAATTCGTCTTAACAAACATTCAACATTAAAATCCAAGATGGTGGTCTCTCTCATCCATACAGTTTTTTAATATAACACCACATTGACTTCCTCAAAGGTCCATAATTGGTCAATATTATTACAGGCTCCAATATGCTGTTAAATGTCGTAATTAGCTAAGATGACTTTTTCAAATTTCAAATAGACAAGATGATAATCTATCAACATATTTTATTTTCACATGATATTCACAGTCTACATTGATAACTTTCACGCACTTGCACACACATATATACAACATGGGATCATCAGCCAGAGGCCCTAGCCTGGTCAGTAATGGACAGCCGGTATGACTTCACTGCTTCCTTTAAGTCATCCAATTGCTGTTCTTGGTGGTATGTTTCACAGTATTTCTGAAAGACAAGAAAAAAGTTGGAATATTTTCATCAAAGTTTAAAAATCGACACTTTGATAAATTAATTGATATAAATAACATCTATAATGTAATGATATAATGTTTTGGAACTTCAATCAAAAAGCTTATTGGTAGATAGAAAAACACATAACAGTTAAACCTGTAACGGTTTAGTATCTACTGGTGTATTCTTTTCTTTTAACACATAGAGTTAACAGTGATTTGCTGCCTCTCGGCGACAGAATTATTTTAATCTTTGGTTTCAACTGATCTTATTGTCACAAATGTGACAAGGGTATTAGGAATATGTTATAACCACTTACAATGTGAACTCTACAAGAATACTGCACATTGTTGTCCCTGTCACCACACATTCGAAATGCTCACAGTTGTTAAACCCTTGTCCCTGTCAATTCCTACCTCTATTATGCTACCACAAGTCATATATTCTGCGGGTTCTGTAACACTGTTGTCCCTGTCAATTCCTACCTCTATTATGCTACCACAAGTCATATATTCTGCGGGTTCTGTAACACTGTTGTCTCTGTCAATTCCTACCTCTATTATGCTACCACAAGTCATATGTTCTGCGGGTTCTGTAACACTGTTGTCCCTGTCAATTCCTACCTCTATTATGTTACCACAAGTCAGATATCCCCCTGGTTCAGTAACACTGTTGTCTCTGGCAATTCCTACCTCTATTATGCTACCATAAGTCATATATCCTCCTGGTTTTGTAACACTGTTGTCTCTGTCAATTCCTACCTCTTTTATGTTACCACAAGTCAGATATCCACCTTATTCTGTAACACTGTTGCCGCTGTCAATTCCTACCTCTATTATGCTACCACATGTTAGACATCCTGATCTGTAACAGTGTTGTTATGTACCTCTATTATGTTACCACAAGTCAGATATCCTGATCTGTAACAGTGTTGTTATGTACCTCTATTATGTTACCACAAGTCAGACATCCTGATCTGTAACAGTGTTGTTACGTACCTCTATTATGCTACCACAAGTCAGACATCCTGATCTGTAACAGTGTTGTTATGTACCTCTATTACGTTACCACAAGTTAGATATCTTGATCTGTAACAGTGTTGTTACATACCTCTATTATCTTTAACTGGTCTTCTGTATCTGTGGAGATGTCTTGAGGTATAGTAATTTTCTCCCTATTGTGGATGTACTTGTACAAATGAATTAAACTGACAGCATCAAGGAGTCTGAAAAAAATTGTATTAATCTCTTCAGGGGTCCTTGACAGAATCTCATACCATTTAAGAACTTTGTGTTCTTGCACTTAAAAATTGTACTAAATCTTTAAATATTGCAAGTGTTTTAAACATGATTGTTATCTGTTCATAAAAAAAATTCATTTAAAACTAAGTATGTAAAGGCAAAATTTTATTCCCAATCAGACAGCTATGAAATTATTACAGAAAAAAATCTGCACTCTAGAGTGCCTGGCAAGTTCTGAAAAGTTCTATATTCAGATGTCTAGAATCAAACAATGTTAAACCATGTAAACATCTATGCAAAATTTTGATTGACGTTTTGAGCCCTAAAGTAATCTTAAATTTGTTTCTTTGTAGCTTGCCAAAGCTCTCAGAAAGAAAAATACATTTTGCCGAAATCACATATGAAATGGAAACTCATGCAAGACCCTATGTCCATAGAAATTGGAAGGAACGATGGCGTCAAATGTTCTCAGCAAAATATAGAGTTAATGACCAATACGTACTACCAGTAAGTCACAAACGGACACATTCAATTGAAATATTTCATTTCCATCAACAACACTGAATAGAACTGAAAAACAGTCAGTAAGACACACCAATTATCAATACTTACAAATCATGTTGTATCATGTCCACTAATAGATATTGAATATCTTTCTTTAGAATGAAGTAGAAAGCCATTGGTCCAAAGAATCGTGTTGACCCCAATTTGCTAAAACATCTATTCTCTTTGACGTACTCATAAATGGTCTGAGTTACCTGTGAAGATACAGCGACAGAGCATGTTTAAAAAAATCAAGAATCATTAGCAACTGTATTATGAAAATTGTCACTGTGATAAGGGGGGGGGGGGGGGGGGAAGGAGCCAACCTAGGTCCAATGGATAAGGTGGGATCCTCAGTTAGATTGATCACTGGAGGATGGAAACTGAAAGGTGTGCCAGGTGTCACTCAATAGTATAACTAAAACATCAAGGGTTGAAGTGTACTCAACATCGACCAGCTTTGATGTAAAGAACACTTCTACCCATACTAGAGCAATAGTTAGAGAAACCTGTAAGTCAAGACAGATCTATATTGGAAGGTTTCAAACCATGACATGATGTAAAGATAGTATAAAACAAAATAGTATGTAGATCTAGTAAGATATTAAATGTGGCTACTCTATGCCTTGATAACTTTCATGAAAACATTTTTCTTATGTATATCTGACCAATGATCAAATTGTGTCAAATCTGTTTATTCAGAAATAAATGTTGCCTTCACACAAGCAAACAATATATCATTGCTGCAGGCCTCTGAAACTCTAAAGTTCTTAAAGACTTCAGAATATTTAAATATTTCGAGCTAGAAAGTGGGTGACAATTTATTTGCAGAAAGTGAATTACCTTTTTTCCAAATAAAAGATTTGTGAAAATTTTGTTATCCTGAGTAGAGTTGATTAATATTTTACATATTCCTCTACAGCCTCAAACCGAGCCAGCTACTGATTATCACAAACTATCTTAATCATGACCTGAAGCATTTTGTAAGATTTGTGTTCAGGAGCTAAATCTTTAATAATGAGAAGCACAAACACTCAAGTAAAGAAGAAAAAAGTTCTTACGTTAAAACCAGTAGATTATTTCAGGGTGACATTTCATTGACTACACAGTCACCTTCATTAGACAAATGACCATTGTGAAGCATATTAACACTGATGTGTAAAGTGTACTCGAATGTAACGCTCCAAAATGTCCTGAGTAATGATTGAAACACACACCCCAGACCTGCAGGGTGAGAAGTCTAATGCTCTAGTGAATGAGGTTTGCCGCTTAATACTACTTAAAACATCATTATTGTTTGAGATTTCATTTATGAACTTACTCTGATAAAGTCTTTGTCATCTGGCTCAAACTGGACACACACTCTGTCAAGGATGTAGACGATATCGGTCAAGCCATTTTCCAGCAGGTACTACAACAAAATTATATACATGTTACACTTCACACCTAATCTTGTTTATTCTTATGTTGCTGTGACTGGAGTGACAATGTACTGAAGTACTGTAAGATAAACATTTTGACTAAAGCAACTCTGACAGATCAAACAATTCAATTGTTTATGTTAAAAAGATTCCACCCGCCCCCACCCCGCCACTGGATAGTACAATCATGTCAAAGTCTTGAAAGAAACATGAAATACTACATTTAATTCCTTCATGGACAATGACCACATCTATCCTAACTACACAAAATCTGTAGGTTAATATGTTGATGTTCGTATTAATTTTTCATAATTATTCTTAAAATACTTCGCTTTATAACAAGTTTAAAAAGATTCCTTGTTTTCTAGAACCTTCATCTGCATCGAGGTGAGATAGAATGATTGGGAAATACAATTACTTGGTAAGTTGAACATCTTCTCCCGAGGAATGAGATCACCCTATCTCACTAACAAGAGGATGAATAATTATTTTTCTCAAACCCTGCTGGTTTTTTCTGGTAGAAAATTTCCTTATCTCACCCTAGTGTTGAGACTGTTTTAGCATAATAAATTTCCATGTGACACATATGTGTTACAGATTCCATGCAAATTTTGCAGTTTTCAAGAAAAACACATTTTCATTGACAATTGATATTGTGGATAATTAATACTCACAAAACCCACTAGTGCTAAATGTTAAATGATAATCAATGATTTTACACCACATTCCAAGTAAGAATATCATAGGTACCTCTAAATGACTTTGCTCAAACATTTTTGGAGGCACAGCAGAAACTCCAAACTTCGGGTAGTAAATCTGATTAGCCCGTATTCGTTCTTCAGGATTAGCAGTCCTTAGTGTACCGTCTACATCTCGAATGACAATAATTCTATCCTGAAAAACAATTTATACAATACAATGTTCTTTTGCTCCATTTGAGCCCTACTTTGAATACTGTGAAATTTGTTATTTTTTCTGTCGGACTAAATATTTGTGGTTTAAGTAAATTTGTAACTTTTTCATGCTAATGATGTGCAAAAACGTGAAGTACATGTGTTACATAACAGGATATATGGTTCTACATTGTCTTGCGAATTCCTACCTCCACTAATCAGTAAAATCACATTTTAAAGTTAAATTTGCAGTTTTAAATTACAATGTCCTTAACTCCCTAGACAGCTCCCAAAATCAGTACATAGAACCATACCATATGATGATTCTGTAAATATGTTATCTAAATTGAACTACAGTACACTTTGCAGATTAAATACAACTGCAAAAACAGTGAAAAACAGAACCATGCGAAAATCAAAACTTCTCCAGTAATTTGCCTATGATCTTCAAGGTAATTTCACATAAATGAATGCTTTTCACAACATTGGGTTTATATGATACAGTCATTTTTGCAGCATTTCCTTTCCTTAAATAATGCCCTCACACTTTATTTTCCTGGCACCTATTGCCCATCTAAAAACACTACACATCTTTTGAAGGATTTTTTCAGTTGCATCCAGAACACCATTTTTCAAATTTATTGTATATTTAATAAGAGATAATAAGAGAGTGGCACCTCAAATTTTGAGTGAGTCCTACAGGAATATGAATTCAGGACTAAAATATATAAATCCTAAAAATCACTGGCTAGTGACTACTGTTAGTTCATTGCTCTATCTTCCTTCTTTCAGAGATTTTTCTTCAAATCATATTTCATGTAGTTGAAATTATATACAGCACAATTATAACTGAAATCTGAATTTTTCATCAAATTCTGTCACTACATGGATGGTGGACCTACAGATGAAGCAGGGACTATATGCTCTCCTTTCCGGAAGCATAAAAATTGTAGGGAAATTTTTTTAACCATAAGATTTATCTCAACTTTGTTAAATATATTTACCCGATTTCCTACTCCAAGTGAGATGTCGGTAAACACATATTTTGACGTTAGAGCTGGAGCAATCTCAGGGTTTTTTGACAAGACTTTCGTAGTTGAGTCTTTTTCTTTCATGAATGGTGGCATTTTCAGCAATTCTACTGCCCTTTCCATCTGTGTAACTTCCAACTATGTACAAAACAAACATGTTCACATATACCAAAGTAATAAAATTTGGATTTCTTCTTGCTACTGATGGAGTAAAGTCAGTAAATGCATATCGTATGGTAGTGATCTAATGACCAGATTAACAAGGTAAAAACAAGAATCGTCAATATCTTGTCATCCCAGAACTGATTGTCAGAAACTTTGTAGATATACATCAATGATCTCATACCTGGTTGTAGTAAAATCAAGGGTGACGGTAGGAGGAGAATTCATTGTCAGAAACTATATACATTAAGTTACAAAACATGCATCAACGAAATACAATCCTCTAAATCAACAATGCTGCCAAACTCTAATCATCTCATATCTGGTCATAGCCCTCCAAAAATCAAGGTGACAGGAGGGGGTTTTAAAGGGTCCTCACAGAAAAAGACCTGATAATTAGTTCTGCTGTTCATTTATCACATTTGTATGTAATCTATTTAGATGATGTTATATCAATGTTATATTTGAACATATTTTGATCACATTGCATCCAGAAGTTGAATTTTTGAAATTTTTAAACACTAAACAAAAGTAAAGAAACAACAGGTGATTCTAGCAGATACCGTCAATATTAGTTTGATTGGCAACATTGAAATAATCAAATTGTGAGCCTTTAATTTTAATCAACATAAAACATGGATAAAGAGTCATACATTTGTATTGAGAGCCAAACCATTGGATTCCATGAGGTTATAATTTTTAACACATTGGATTTAGATCTTATTGCTTAATTGGTTTTTCTATTTTTCTGATACAAACTATGCTTAACATAAAGATTATATTACCTCAATCAAAAAGTTTAAACTTACTTTTCAAAACCAGAAACTGATGAAACAATTTTTCCTAAATCAGAAAAATGCATCATATCAAGACATAAAGGCAGCTGGTATTATCAGCATTCCACTATTGTAATTGCCATGTATTGGTATGCTTTCTATTACCAATGTCTTTTTTCTTCGTAAATGATGAAATGTATACTGACCTCTTTCAATTCCTCTTCTGACATTAACTCATAACGAGGTTTCTGATGACGATCTGTTTTACGCATCCTGACAACATCTTCCATATTTAGCCGGGATATCTTTAGTAGAATTTCTTGTACCTTCCTCTGAAGAAATGTTGGTAGAGGGTCGCGTTTCGGAACAAATGTTGGCCTACCACCACCACCACCACCACCACCACCACCTGATGAGGGCGGGGAGGAAGCTGAGGAAATGTCCTTCTCAGGTGAACCAGAGGATCCTGTGGCACCTGTAGTACATGAAAATTATCTACTGTATGAACACATACAAATGTAATATGTACAACACAATTGTGATTTCATAAAATAAAAACATAAAACATTCATACCAATGGAAAAACCTGCATACTGAATACTTTTTCTATAGTAAAATTGTCAAGATTATTTTCAGTGTATGTATAATCACACACTTGATGAGAAATCTATCAATAAGTCTACATCTATCAATGTAATATTAAACAGAGAAACAAATATTGATACTGAAAATGTCTTATTGCAGTAGGGGTGTATTATTATATGTTCATGTGAACATTAAAAAAAAAAAAAAACAGATAAATCTGAAGAAGCATTTAGTGTGCTTACTATGTTTATTTGCTGTATCTCTACTGAGTAAGTCTGAATAGTTTTGGTTTTCTATCAACTTTTATGTATAGAGGTCATTGATTTCATGCGATATTTAAAAGTTGATAAAATATCAGAATGATTCGGAAACAAGCATGATGCGGAAATATAACAATATCAAATTAATATGAAGCAAATGCTGCTGCTCTCAAGTGTGAGACACAATATACAACTGTATCACCGACACACCTGTACTGTCGGCAATCATGGAAAAATCATCTTTCTCACCGTGTACAGGGCAATATGAGGGGGGGGGGGGTGGGGGGGCGGCCATATTCAGCATGGGGAGGGGGGGATTTTAGGCCAAAATCGGCACAATTCAGAAGGAAATGTGAGTATAACACTGATTGCCATCATTCTTCTATACATTGTTATAGACCACGGAACACAGCAAGATCTGCTCTTTCATATGGTCCTTACCACTTTTTACCAGTGCCTTTAGTTTTCTCAAACACTTTGACAATGTTGTCTGTTTGACCACTTTTCCCTTGCTGACATATGACATATGAAAAAGCTGTTTCGTCACTTTAACCATAGGTACAAACATCTAATTAGAAAATATTGAACAGCCACACTTTTTGCTTATTTTAATAAATGCGGTGATTGACTTTAAAAATGAATTGTTGAAAACAGATACCAAATATTACATAAGTGTCAAAAAATTAAATGATTTTCTAGAATATTGCTAGTAATAGTCGTTCCGAATATTTCAGACCCCAGTAAAGAAAATCAAATACAAAACCATTGGAAGTAACGAAACATCCTGCACATGTCCCAAATAGCTTTTCAAATCCCGAACAACCGTCTTCGGGACTCCCGTAACAACTTATAACCTAATCGATTTGCATTCTGACTCAATTTGTTAAGGCAGTTCTCCCTATGTTTTCGCTTTGGATTAATTTTCTAGTTATCAATAAAATCAGATCTTACTTTTTCTTGCATATGTTCGCAAACATGTTCTTCTTATGTTAAATAATCGGCGAAATAGTTTGAGGTGATCCAAGGATGCCATTTCTCGTTTTCAGCATGACCGGAAGCTGGATGTTTTCGGCATGACTTCCGGCTTGAAGATGTCATAACTAGTAAAAATATGGATCTTTTACAATATTTCATATAATCTCCATTATTATATCATTATATTAGTTTCATATTATGTATTATAATTTTAATAATATTTACAGACTTAATTTTTACTTATAACGACATGCCAAAAACTGCACCAAAACCCACGTGAACTTGTAAACAAACTCATCTGCAGCATATATATGAAAACGGTACATAATTAATTGTTACGTTATGAGTCGCAGATATACATCAAGGAAAGTTGAAGATGACGAATTTGAAAGCGAAATATTCAAAGATATAGAAAGGAAGACACAGGAAGAAAATGGCACGTCTGGATCAGAATGTGAATCAGGTGACGATCAGATTATAGTACATTCACAACCCATCCAGAAATAACCAGTGATCTGGTAAATACCACAAGAGAATAAATTTTGAACAAATGTTAGGCCTTAGACCGCGATATTAAACCGTTAATGTTGACCCCAGAATAAAATAGGGCTCAAATAACTCGTCTTTTTAACACAGAAAAAAAATCTTCAAATCAGAAATATGGTTGACACTCAACTTCTGACATTCTTCATGAATGGGACCGGGTCTATGTAAAAACCGTCCTTTAGTAACTTGAAGTGTCCTGGGCCATTTTTCATTCGGTAGACAATTCAAAACAGTATATCTGTACATTGAAACAATAACTGCCCATAGAGTTATGAATATCATAAAACAAAATGGTTACTTAATTCAGTCACGCAAGACACAGGCTTGCTCAAACTAATTTAGTCCTGGCACAGACTTAGAATAGTCCATAAATTTCGAGTCTGTATTGATAGTAATGAAGGGAAGGAATACCAAGTGTCTGTGCATTATGTTCTACCAAGAATGCTATAATGATTGAAATGAAGAGAAAAGATTACAAAGATGCTTGTTCATAGAAGTAAGGCATTCATGTCTCAGGGGCGGATTTAGAGGGGGGCGTGGGGGGCGCACGCCCCCCCTAAAATTGGCAGAGTAAGGGTGAGTTACGAAGTATACTGGACGTATGTTATGACTATCACTGTTCTAAACAGCTATAGATGACTTAAGTTGGGCTAATTTTCAAGTATACAGTAACTTTATTATAGTTGATCACATAACGACATTCTTAAATATCCGCCCCTGTGTCTTATAGGCATTTTAGGTTAAATCTTCAGATTGCCTGGCACCCAAGGTCCGTGGTCCATCACATGCGCTGACACAGGGTCCATCTTTATCTAATTCTCCATAAATCCTTATTTCTTAAATATAATGAATGGATATTTTTTGTTTTTACAAATTTCATATGTAAGGTAACATTCTTCATGTCCCTTTGTTAGTTGTGCCCTTTTTTAAAGACTGATTTGAAAAGCAAAATGGCTGACATGCAGCCATCTTGGATTTTGACAATGTAAGTTCATCATCTTTGTTTCCTTGTAAATATTGTTGTACACTTCTGATTTTGCAACTGGTCAAAAGTTAAAGGCAAAATTATTGACAAGCAGCCATCTTGGATTTTAGCAATGAAAGTTTGTTTAAGCTAAATCTTGAGAAATACATAATGGATCTTTCTCAAATTTCAAGATGATGACAGGCCAACATTTAATTTGGCGGTTAAAGATTATTTCTTAAGAGAAATTCTCCATCATTTAATTAAAAGGTTATAAAAAAAAGAAGAGAAAAGAGGGGAAAAGATCCAACTTTAAAAAAACAAAATGAAGATCTCTCTTTGCTCTCTTATTTATCGTTTAATTTTAATATCTGTAAAAAAATAACATTGTTCTTGAAATTTTAAGTGGAGTCAGAATCTTCTGGAAATGAAGAATTACTGGTTGAAAGTGATGAGGATTATGATGAAGATACTACTGGTGCAAAGATCAAACAAGCAAAGGTTGACTGTGAGGAAGACAGCGATCAGGATGATGATGCTCCAGAGACTGTATCCTTTCAGTCAGGAAAGGAGAATGCCATTCAGAAAATGAGACAAGTCATGAAACAGATTGACACAGAAAAAATTGCCCTCAAAACCAAACGTAGGCAGCTGGACCAGCAGTACAAAGATCAAAAGGTATCGAGAGAAAACAAACATAACATTAAATAAATTTTTCATCATTTTTCAAATTTTTACCATGACAAAGATGAAGCAGCACATTCAGTTGAGGAAGAATAACATTATAGATATCCGTTGCCTTTGTTTTCATATAAAAAATATGGCTAAAATTGGATATCTCGATTTAAGAACAAATGCTGAAATTTTCCTGTGGCAAAATAAAACATTAATATGGAGTTTTCTATTAATATGGTGTGTAATCAGTCTGTAATGAAAGCATCTTCACATTGAGTCAAACATTTTTCTGTAAGATGATCAGATAATTGTACATCAACTCCCATACCTTTTTCACACAAAAGAAATGAGAGAATGATTAAATCTCTCATCTTATCTCCTGGTCACATATCTTCATTTACAGAATTCTATCACAATATTTTCTTAAAGTCCAACTATTGTTCTTTGATTCTTTTACATTTTTTTCTCATAAAAAGCCTAGTTGATGGTATTCCCCAGATTGATATTATTGGCATTTTTGATGAGGGAGAAATAACTTGATTTTCTAGTCCCTTCGTGTTCATTTAGTCCCCAAGTTTATATTTTCTTTAATTTTAACCTTTTAACCTTAAATATTTAATCAGGATAAGGGAACAAGGAGTTTGTGTAGGAAATGACATCTATATATATTTTTAAAACCTTGGTCTGTGTAGACAGTAGAGATAGAGATAGAGAGAAGTTTTCAGATCACAATAATAAGAAATTTATGTGTGATGTTTTGATGACTACATTGGCACCTTTTTCATGATCAGTCCCTCTTGTTTATTCCATTAATTTTCACGGTTCTTGACTTACAGTTAATATGCTTTGAACACCTACAATTTTATTCATCCTAGAATCAAGGAATGTCATGTTGTGAAATAGAGACATTTACATAGTTAAAGAGTTATCTCCCCTTCCTTGCTCCTTTCTTTTTCTTAGTCAACTTTCATTCACAATACTTTGTAAAGACATGCATATTGGTTTAGCAGGGTATCACCCTTCATATGGAGTTATTGCCTTTCACTTGACTTGTAATCTAAGGAATAAGGATATCTTCATTTTTGTATGTGATTTGAGATAACTAATTTAAATTTGTTTTTTAAATCAGAAAAGAAAGTTGGAAAAACTCTCTAAGAGTAAATTACCAGAGGATTTCTTTGACGATCTGCCGGAAAAGATGAGTAATGTGAAAAAGTCCACATCATCAACTAATAAAAAAGGTTTGTATACTCAAGTGTACCAATGTGAAAATTATTGGGTCTAATACTCTTTATTCTCGAACCAATAGTACATTTATTAGGATGTTTAACTAGCAAAAATTGTAGAATGTAAATTTTGATGATATTGTCTATTGATGGACGTGTGCAGTTTTTGTGAGAACTCTAGGTGATCAGGTAATGAACAAGGTTCAAATTTTAGTTTAATCCATGACAATTTGTTATTTTAGTAGGGTTTTTAAGATATTAGGAATTTTGTATGTTAGTGTGGCTAATTGTAGATATTTCTGCCCAGCTGTACAAAGATACCTACATTATATATAAACTCCTACAATGTTAAAGGTTTAGCATGGCGAGAAACCCTTGTCAAGCACAGATTTGCCAAATTCAGTCCGATGAACAAAGACCTGTTAATACATACATACCTTTAAGAATAACTATGTGGATGTGTTCAATGTCTTTGTTTAGTAAGGTTACTGCAAGATTTCATGAAATGTTGACAATTACAAGAATATGAATAGTGCATAGCCTTTGGGCCTTGCAGGCAACAGTTCGTCAAGCTCTTAAATGATACACATGCACATGTCTCGGTAGTTTTTGTGGGACTTTTCAGGTGAGTGGTGAGAACAAAATACCAATTAAAAAATTCTGATGTGTCCTAATACTAAAAAATTTGAGTGAGTCGACGAAAAAAGCATGAGTTCAGGGCTCAGTTATCTGAGCCCCAAAAATCATTGATGTCTATATATATATAGTGGCATATGTATTTAAATATTTTCAAAGATTTGAAAGGTTTTTGATCCTTTTCCTGTATATATCACTCTAGAGAATTATTTTGAAAGTGATACTGGAGAATAGTACTGCAAGAGGTTAATGAAACGTATATGCATATAGTATTGATAAAAACAGTTTTATGTATATACAAGATTTATGAATTGTTAATTATATTTGGTGACCAGTGTAGAGGATGTAGGTTTTTGTGTACAGTTAACAAATACAACGGTACATTGTTTTGGTTTTTTGATAGTATAATGAGAACTGTGAAGGCGATGTCAAATTTTGTGGACTGTTAACAATACAAGACTACATTGTTTTTTGTTTAGTGAGAAAGATAGCTGATGAAGAGGAGGCCAGTCTAGCTGATACTGAGGAAGACTTTGGTGTTTCCAATGAAGATTTTATTCCTTTTGACAACAACAGGTTAGATCTCGAGTATTTTTTTTATTTTGAAGGATTACACCTTCAGTACAGGTGAAGGAATTTGAATCAGAGTAGATCAAAAATATTTTGTAATTAATACATGTCAAAACAGATCTCAATACTTTAAGACGTTTTCGTCTGGTTTGTTACGTCTATAAAATAAAAGTATTACCAGTAGAAGATTTGAGTGTGATAATTCGATGACTGCACATGAACTTTTTTTCTTAATCTCAATACTATTTATCTTATAACTAGCCTGTTGTGTCATGTCTTTGGCCTTTGTTATAAATATAGTAAGACTTGTGTATAATAACACTGTGATAATGTCATTATATAGTGATATGATGTCACATGAAAGTGAAAAACCTACCATCCAGAATGAATGTTAAAACTAAAGGCTTGTGAAACTTCAAGTTATTAAATTTGTTTCATAAGTATTACTCTCATATACATCGTAAGATCCTCTATGTCTTTCAAAGACTGTTCCTTCATTATATATTACAAATATTGATGAAGAACCATCAATCAGGCACAGGGAATTTCCACTAATACGAAATGACAAGTTTTTGTATTAGAAATGGGACAGACAAACTAATATCCTTCACAAGCTGAGGAATTTTGTATTCATATTTCTGAATTAGGTAATCAAGCTTATGATGTACTTTAGATTTTGTCTTTTATCAATTTGTCCAGTTTAATTGGCTTAAACAAAAAAAAACTGACATAGTGTTGGTATAGTAAACCTTATCATCATTTGCATCCTCGAAACTACAACTACAAATCTGCAGACATCATTCGTGCTGTACGCTCCTGGAATATCTAGAGATGGCTCGGCATTGTAACTCCTGGAATATCTAGAGATGGCTCGGGATTGTAACTCCTGGAATATCTAGAGATGGCTCGGCATTGTAACTCCTGGAATATCTAGAGATGGCTCGGCATTGTAACTCCTGGAATATCTAGAGATGGCTCGGTATTGTAACTCCTGGAATATCTAGAGATGGCTCGGTATTGTAACTCCTGGAATATCTAGAGATGGCTCGGTATTGTAACTCCTGGAATGTCTAGAGATGGCTCGGCATTGTAACTCCTGGAATATCTATAGAGATGGCTCGGTATTGTAACTCCTGGAATATCCAGAGATGGCTTGTGATCGTAACTCCTGGAATCTAGGATGTCTGTAGACACTTTTTGTGATCGTAACTCCTGGAATCTCAAGGATGTCTGTAGAGATTGCATGTGATTGTAAATCTTGGAATTTCAAGGCCATCTGTAGAGAACATTAGTGACCCTAACCCCTGAAATGTCGAGGATGTTTGATTGCACAATCCAACTGTTTTTTTGTGAAAAGTATGATTGTCATACTTCTACTCCTATTCTACTAGTTGGAGTTGGTTGGGAACTTGCCAGGAATCACCCTGAAGTAATCCAGAACATTTATGAAGTTTTTTCTGGTTTATACCTTGTGATGACTGAGTGGTATGGCGGTGCGAGTTTCCTTGTTGATTCTTTGTGATGACCACAGATCTTGTTCATTTTACAGACTCGATGGTTTTGAAGTGTCTACTGTGCAGAGCCACAAACAATTAGCAATGTCGTCAAAAGTCAAAGCTGAAGATTTCAGGAAAACTCGACTAAGCAATGTGCCACGCCATTCAAGTGAGTTACTCTCATTCATTAATAATCAAAAGTGATTTTTGCTGTTTAAAAATTTATCCTAAATATATTTTTGAATCAACTGAACAACTTATTTAACGGAAATGACCAGTAAGTTAAAAACGAGAAAAGTCAGTGAAAATGAATAAATGAAACCATGATATTTTTACCGTAAGATAATGCCAAAGCCCATTTTTAACTCCGAATAATGAATGCCTGTTTTAGCTGACATAAAAATTTGACAATGAGAATCTTTCCAGATATAAAGACTGTATCTATTATAGTAGATGTTTGATGGTGGTACTATTTGTGTAGGTACACAAGTGATTGCACTCCTACCTTTATTTCTGTATTTTACAGGTAAAGTTCATTTTGCAAAGTTGGAAAAGAAGAAAGCGTTAAAAAAAGGACTGGGAAAAGAGTTTATGATAATATGAAAGAAAAATGATGTTTTAATTGTCATATTGGTAGATAAATGTACTTGTGAAACAGAGGTCTAAAAGTCAAAATTGTGTTGTCTTTGATGTAAGTTTATATTTGAATCGCAAGGGAATTAACTATGTTTTCATTGCATGGTACATGGCAGACTTCTTTGAAAATCTCAGTTCAATCACAATGGTTCTCATATCATGGATGAATTCAGTCATTTTATTGTGGAAGTTTTATGAATATTTTTTATGCTCCTTGAAAATTATGACTGAACCAATCACAGATAACGTCACGAAAAGAGAGGTCATTTGTGATTGGCTAAGCAAAAATTTGAAGTTTAAGATTGTTTAATGATCCCAAGGCCAGTTCTGAAAAAATAAGTAAGATAAGGCAATTCAGCCTGTATAAAGAAGATAGTGGTCTCCTGAAGGGGTAGGAAGCGATAAAAAAAGGAATGTGAAAAAAGGGCATATGCAAGCTCAACCAGGAGCATTGAATATATAAAAAAATGTATAAAGTAGAGGATCATCATGGAAGTTTTGATTGCAGAGATCCCTTACAAAAATACAATATGTACAAAATCAATAGAATGTGTTATGTCTGTAGGTATCTTAAGGAGAACTCTCAACTTTTTATCAAAACCTGATATTCATTTTTATTGACATTACCAAAACTTTAAGAATGACATCATCAAACACATGACAAAATATTGATTAGTGCTTCATTACAACAAAATGTTCAACACATGAAAAGGTACAAATCTCATTTCAAGAGTTGTTGTTTCTTTAATTAAAAGCAACAAGGCAAAAATTCTGTGACTTTTTCAAAAAGGTTTCAATTCATTAAAATAAATTATATAGCTTAACACTCACGTAAAGTGTCTTTATATTACTTACATCTTATGTACCGGTGAAGAATTTGTTTTAGTCCATGTGAATCAAAATCCCATATCATTTACTGGAAAGTACAATAAATATCAGTAATTACTACAAAAATAAGTGTAATCTACTGGGACTTATGATCTAGGAGGGTTTGTATGGTGTGATCTATATATCTATACAAACATGCTTAGGACCATGGTTAGAAGTCTTTTTACGATACTTAAGTAAATTGTATTATGTCTATGTTAACTTTGATTAATTACATTATTTACAATACTTTACAACAGAGCCAATTTTTTTTCTGTTATCTCTCACTTCCTTCTGAAAGTTGGTGTTTCATAAGATAAACTTACATGTACATGTATATCAAAATTTTTGTTTTAAAAATTTTGCTGTCGTATAAATGTCTGAAAACATCAGAATCATGATTTGCTATAGGATGATTCGAATAGCCATATATCAAAATTTAAATGTGAGTTACAACTCTATAAATTTGGAAATCCTTAGCATCGTTTTTTTATAGTTAAAATTGTTAATGGGAAAATGCTCTAAAAACTTCTGATGAAAAAAAATCAAACAGTAAGTCGAGTTGATAAATTAAAAGATAAAAAAAAATTAAATGTTTCATAAAGTGTATAAAAATAATACTATATTTAAATTCTTCATTGAAAGTTACGGTCAACTTTTTTAACGTACGTAAATCTGTAATGCACTTTTTCAACAATTTGTTTTTCAGTGTTGTATCCCTTAAAAATGCTTTCAAATAAACTGAAGATAGCCAACTCTTTCTTCAGAAAGTAACCCTATTGTGTTTTTATCTGAAACTAGGTCATTAAGGATCTCTTCATCCTCTTGCTGTTTAATGCATTCTGCATGAACTAGATTTCTAACACAATTTTCTCCTTTCAATAGCTCTTCCAACAAACATGTACTTCAGCCTGACAAAATGACAATTTTGAACCATTCGGTTCCTTCAAACATATTGTTATTGAACAGTTAAACCAATTTTAGCAAATTTTTAAAGACATTTGATTGAGAAAGAGTTGACTGCATGGAAAATGTTGAAGATGGATTTGGATTTGTAAACATGCATATAAGAAATAAATCAAAGAAGATTATGGATTCCACACTTAAATATATGACACTGAGTAATGTTGGTCATTTTTCACTGAACACTAGTCGGATTTTAGATCAGGCGATTCTGCTATAAATCAACTCTTGACTTTGGTAAAGTTTTAGATATTGGGACGGAGGTGCAGGTTCTTTTCTAGATATACTTAAAGCATTAGATCGAGTGTGGCACAAGGGCCTCCTTTACAGATTAAACAAAGCACGTGTTTCAGGAATGCTGCTAGGTTGGTCCAAAATTTATCTTTGTAATTGGAAACAACGAGCTATGGTTAACTAAGAGTTCTCAAACTACATCAAAGCTGGGGTTCCCCAGGGCTACATATTAGGACCTTTATTGTTATTGATATATATTAATGATATAATTTCGAAAATTTCGGACATTAGCAGTATTACCAAATTGTTGGCTGATGACGCAACACTTTATCTTATAATTGACAACACTGTTAATTCAGTCAGTATTATAAATAACAATCTATTTGAAGTTCATACATAGGGTAAAAAAATTAGTTACGCTTAACACAAACAAAACATAGTAATTAATAATCAGTGAGAACTTTTATACATGTAATCAAACAGTTAAAAAATGGTTGGAATGTGAAACAAAACAGAAATAATCGAGATGTGAAACAAAAAAAGGTTGGAATGTGAAACAAAACAGAAATGACTGGAATGTGAAACAAAACAGAAATGGTTGTAATGTGAAACAAAACAGAAATAATCCAGATGTGAAACAAAAAAAAGGTTGGAATGTAAAACAAAACAGAAATGACTGGGAAGTGTATCAAAACAGAAATGGCTGGGATGTGTATCAAAACAGAAATCGCTGGGATGTGTATCAAAACAGAAATGGCTGGGACGTGTATCAAAACAGAAATGGCTGGGATGTGTATCAAAACAGAAATGACTGGGAAGTGTATCAAAACAGAAATGGCTGGGATGTGTATCAAAACAGAAATGGCTGGGATGTGTATCAGAACAGAAATAACTGGGAAGTGTATCAAAACAGAAATGGCTGGGATGTGTATTAAAACAAATGACTGGGACTTTTATCAAAACAGAAATGATTGGGACATGTATCAAAACAGAAATGATTGGAATATGTATCAAAATCGAAATGGCTGGGATGTGTATCAAAACAGAAATGACTGGGAAGTGTATCAAAACAGAACTGTCTGTGAAGTGTATCAAAACGAAAATGGTGAGGATATGTAACTGAGGAGAAATTGTTTAAATTTCTGACTAAATAGTAATGATAAGGATTTTGAAACCAAACATAAATGGTTAAGATGTGTAACAAAAACAAAACAGGAATGGTTAGAATGTTTCACAAAACAAAAAATGGGATGGCTGTGTAATTAAACAGAAATGGCAAGGATGTGTAACTAAACAGAAATGGTTAGGATGCTAAACTAAACAGAAATGGTTATGGATGCGTAACTAAACAGAAATGGTTAGAATGTGTAACTAAACAGAAATGGTTAGGATGTGTAACTAAACAGAAATGGTTAGGATGTGTAACTAAACAGAAATGGTTAGGATGTGTAACTAAACAGAAATGGTTAGGATGCGTAACTAAACAGAAATGGTTAGGATGTGTAACTAAACAGAAATGGTTAGGATGTGTAACTAAACAGAAATGGTTAGGATGTTTTACCAAACAAAACATGGAAAGGCTGTGTAACGAAACAGAAATAGGTAGGATTTGTAAACAAACAGAAACGGTAAGTATATGTAACTGAACAGATTTTTTTAGGATGCGTAACTAAACAGAAATGGTTAGGATATGTAACTAAACAGAAATAGTTATAGATGTGTAACTAAACAGAAATGATTTGGATGTGTAACTAAACAGAAATGGTTAGGATGCGTAACTAAACAGAACAGGTAAGGATGTGTAACTAAACGGAAATGGTTAGGATGTGTAACTAAACACAAATGGTTAGGATGCATAACGAAACAGAAATGGTTAGGATGTGTAACTAAACAGAACAGTTAAGGATGTGTAACTAAACAGAAATGGTTAGGATGTGTAACTAAACAGAAATGGTTAGAATGTATTACTAAACAGAAATGGTTAGGATGTGTAACTAAACAGAAATGGTTAGAATGCGTAACTAACTAGAACTGGTTATGGATGCGTAACTAAACAGAAATGGTTGGTTAAACAGAAATGGTTAGGATGTGTAACTAAACAGAAATGGTTAGGATGTGTAACTAACAGAAAAGGATAGTAACTAAACAGAAATGGTTAGGATGTGTAACTAAACAGAAATGGTTAGGATGTGTAACTAAACAGAAATGGTTAGGATGTGTAACTGAACAGAAATGGTTAGGATGTGTAACTAAACAGAAATGGTTAGGATGTGTAACTGAACAGAAATGGTTTGAATGTGTAACTAAACAGAAATGGTTAGGATGTGTAACTGAACAGAAATGGTTAGGATGTGTAACTAAACAGAAATGGTTAGGATGTGTAACTAAACAGAAATGGTTAGGATGTGTAACTAAACAGAAATGGTTAGGATGTGTAACTAAACAGAAATGGTTAGGATGTGTAACTGAACAGAAATGGTTAGGATGCGTAACTAAACAGAAATGGTAAGGATGTGAGACCAAGCAGTAATGCTTCGCATATGGAACAAAATAGTAATTCTTAGGATGTATGATTAAATAGAAATGGTAAGTATGTGTAACTAAACAGAAATGGTTAGGATGTGTAACTAAACAGAAATGGTTAGGATGCGTAACTAAACAGAAATGGTTATGGATGTGTAACTAAACAGAAATGGTTAGGATGTGTAACTAAACAGAAATGGTTAGGATGTGTAACTAAACAGAAATGGTTAGGATGTGTAATTAATAAGAAATAGCTATGGATGTGTAACTAAGCAGAAATGGTTAGGATGTGTAACTAAACAGAAATGGTTAGGATGTGTAACTAAACAGAAATGGTTAGGATGTGTAACTAAACAGAAATGGTTAGGATGTGTAACTAAACAGAAATGGTTAGGATGTGTAACTAAACAAAAATAGTTAAGTATGTGTAACTAAACAGAAATGGTTAGGATGTGTAACTAAACAGAAATGGTTAGGATGTGTAACTAAACAGAAATGGTTAGGATATGTAACTAAACAGAAATGGTTAGGATGTTTCAACAAAGAAAAAATGGCAAGGCTTTGTAACGAAACAGAAACGGTTAGGATGTGTAACTAAACAGAAATAGTAATGAATATGTAACTAAAAAGAATAGTTAAGGATATGTAACTAAAAAAATAGTTAAGGATATGTAACTAAACAGAAATGGTTAGGATGTGTAACTAAACAAAAATAGTTATGGATGTGTAACTAAACAGAAATGGTTAGGATGTGTAACTAAACAGAAATGGTTATGGATGTGTAACTAAACAGAAATGGTTAGGATGTGTAACTAAACAGAAATGGTTATGGATGCGTAACTAAACAGAAATGGTTAGGATGTGTAACTAAACAGAAATGGTTAGGATATGTAACTAAACAGAAATGGTTAGGATGTGTAACTAAACAGAAATGGTTAGGATGTATAACTAAACAGAAATGGTAAGGATGTGTAACTAAACAGAAAAATGTGTAACTTAATGGATGAGTAACTAAACAGAAATGGTTAGGATGTGTAACTAAACAGAAATGGTTAGGATGTGTAACTAAACAGAAATGGTTAGGATGTGTAACTAAACAGAAATGGTTAGGATGTGTAACTAAACAGAAATGGTTAGGATGTGTAACTAAACAGAAATGGTTAGGATGTGTA